CCACGGGTTTTTGTCGTAAAAAATTTACAATAACATGTTCCTATCAAAATTAAAGTCAAATATCAATCTCTCAATACAAATTATCCATATTTAAAACACTATTCTAGAAAATTCAAGCAAATCACAAATTAACTATACAAATTGTTCAACACCAATCTAGAAAACTCAAGAAAATTGAAGTAAATCATAAATTATCCATAAATAACATATTAATTGAAGGCTTCTTCCTTTCAATTAAGTTTCTTCATTCTCCACTCGATAACACAAACTTCATTCTACACAATTAGAAAGAAAAAATTAGACATGTCTCCACAAACATAAATAAGATTAGTTGTTTAAAATATTAAATATACCGAGAAAATTAATTATATGTGTGGGCGGGTACCCACGGGTCGGGTTTACCTAAACCCAAACCCAACCCAACCCGGTGAATAGTGAACGGGTTTAAACCCAAACCCGACCCAAAACCCGTCAACACGGATTTTACCCGCGTTGACCGGGTTGGGTCGGGTGGGTACCCGTGGGTTCGGGTTTGGTTGCCATCCCTATCACCAGGCGATACATCGGCCACCGCTGGACTTCATGGGTCTTCCATTTCTGGCCCACCAGTAGAACATGTGGAGCCTCGTCGTAGTGATCGTGTGCGGGTTCCTTCCACGCGCCTTCGTGATTATGACGTTCAGCTTCCTGGAGCGGCTCACACAGCTAATGTTCAATTCCCACTTGAAGACTATCTTACCTATGATAGATTGTCTCAAGCTCACCATGCCTTTGTGGCCGCTTTGAGTGCCGAGGAGGAACCTACTCACTTCTTCCAAGTTGTTCGTCACAAACATTGGAGGGAGGCAATGCAGAGGGACATCGATGCGCTCATTGCCAACGAAACATGGTCTCTCGTTCAGCTACCGTTGCACAAGAGAGCTATTGCGTGCAAATGGGTTTTTAAAATAAAATTTCGCCCAGATGGTTCTGTGGAACGCTACAAAGCGCGGTTGGTTGCCAAAGGATTCACTCAAATCGAGGGTGTTGATTATCGTGACACTTTCGCTCCTGTAGCCAAGCTGGTTACTGTTCGCTGTCTCTTAACCGTTGTTGCTACTCGGGGTTGGCATATTCACCAGCTGGATGTCAACAACGCATTCTTGCACGGTGATCTCGATGAGGAAGTACACATGGCCCTTCCTCAAGGTTTTGGTCGTCCCGGTGACACACAGGTGTGTCGTTTGCACAAATCTATTTATGGTCTGCGACAAGCTTCTCGTAGCTGGTACCAGAAGTTTACTCGGGCACTTCTTGAGTTTGATTTTGTTCAGAGCCGTGCCGATCATGCTCTCTTTACCTATCGACGTGGTGACATCTCCGTGGTCGCTCTTATCTATGTGGATGACGTCATTGTTACTGGTAATGACATGAATTTTATCAACCGCGTCAAGGGTTTTCTACATGATCGGTTTACCATTAAGGATCTTGGGCCGTTAAAATATTTCTTGGGCATTGAAGTTGCTCGTTCTCCTCGTGGCCTTGTCCTCAATCAGCGTAAATATGTGCTCGACATCCTTGCCAGTGCAGGTCTTGAGGCTGCTCGTCCTTGTTCTACACCTATTGAGCAGCAACATCAGTTGGGTCGTCTTCCTTCCCCTCCTGCTACTGATCCGGGTGCTTATCGCATGGTAAAGGAAACTGTACCGGAAGTCATACCGGACCCATCTATGGTAGGGTATTTTGTGGTACGACTGTGGTTCAATCGTTGTGTACCGGTAAAATACCGTTTCTGTAATTAAATAATGTTTTTTTGTTAAAAAACCGTACCGAAAGATTCAGGGTATCATCTCGAAGTAATACTGGAATAAAACCGGAATATACCGGATAACAAACCTGAATAAACTAATAAGCATAAGTAGTATAACAATCAACAAAGTGCAATTATTATACGATATAGTTTCCAAATCATATCTATTTTCCACCAAACTTGGGGGGGGGGGGGGGGGATGAACGGTATACTCAAATCAATAAAAAACATGAAACAGGGGAGGGAGACTTGAGCAAGCCGGCGCGTTCATGTCCTCTTGAGCAGTAGAGGAGGGAGCTTCTTGAGCAGGCCGACGCGTTCTTCTCACGTTCTTGAGCAAGTCAATCGCCAGTCGCGGATTGCAGGAAGCGGATGAGCGACTGAGTAGAAGAGATGACGAGGACGAGCTGCGGTCGCGGGTTTCCTTCCTCCTTGCTTTCGCCGATCACGGGTTGCCGGTCACAGTCGCCAGACAGCCAGAAGATAAGAGGAGCGGCTCGGGCGGGGCTGGGTGCTGCTGGGGGAAGAAAGAAACGAATAGAGGAAAGGGCTCCCACTCTCCGAGACGGTCAGAACCAGATTAGGGTTTCGTTTTTGGGGTTCTTGGCCTCTCGGCCAGTTTGTTTTTTTAATTTTAATTCTAAAATGACGACGTTTCCTTGCAGTATGCCTATCGCCGGTCAAACCAAAACCGACCGGTATTTACGTTCGTACCGGTTAAGCCGGCAAAACCGGCCGGTACGATATTTTAACGCCAACCAACCTACCGTATCGCTCTAGGTCCGGTTCCCAGTTTTACCGGTTGAACCGGCCGGTACGATCCGGTTTCCTGGTCCTTGGCTTATCCTCGACTCGTTGGACGCCTTTTATATCTCACTGTCACTAGGCCAGACATCACCTATGCTGTTAATCTTCTTAGTCAGGCTATGCAGTCGCCGACTAAGGCCCATGAGGATGCTGCCGTTCGTGTTCTCCGGTATTTAAAGTCTGCACCTGGCCGTGGGATTTTCCTTTCCGCGTCGGCTCCTCTCCGTTTGACGGCCTTTTGCGATGCGGATTGGGGTGGTTGCCCGTTGACTCGTCGTTCCACCACGGGTTATTTCATTATGCTTGGTAATTCGCCGGTATCTTGGCGCACGAAGAAGCAGACAGTGGTGGCTCGTTCCTCGGCTGAAGCTGAGTACCGTTCCATGGCTGGCACGGTCAGTGAGATTATCTGGCTTCGATGGTTTCTGCGAGATCTTGGGGTATCGTTACCTGATCCTACTCCTCTGTTCTGTGATAATCAAGTTGCCCTTCACATTGCAGCTAATCCGGTCTTTCATGAACGCACGAAGCACGTCAAGATGGATTGTCACTTCGTGCGTGAACGTGTTCAGTCTCATAAGATTGCCCCTCAGAAGATTGCGACTGCAGACCAGCCAACGGATTTGTTCAAGAAGGGATTGAGTGTTGATCAGTTTCGTAATCTCTTCGTCAAGCTCGGACTTCTTGACATTCACTCCTTCGCTTGAGGGGGAGTGTTGTGATCCTTTTATACTTTCTCACTAGTATAGGGATCATATTGTAAGTTTGCCCTCTCCACGTTGCTGGAAAAGGAGAAAGTCAGAACATATATATATTGTATCGGCTGCTAGCCGAAAACCCTAAGCAAAGGAGAACAAAACCTAGTAAACTACTTTGAGCGTCAAGCTCCGTGGACTAGTCTCGTTCAATTACGAACGGGTAAACCACGTTAAATCTCGTGTTGTGTGATAGTTTTGCTTCCGCGTATTATCGTATTTTACAGTTGTAAATTACTTTTACACAAAACAGAACCAAGAGACCAAAAAACACGAATAACCAAAACAACTGTCTTAACTAAAAATGAACTCATTTAAACTTCAGCCTTCCCGCCTCTTTGCTCCAGCTTGTACTCGATGCGGGTTCAAGTCTCTACCCCTCTGTTTCGGAGAGGCGGAAAAGGGGGGAGGGGAGATATTGGAAGGGAAATACAATTCCCGATATGTTTTCCGCTGTTTCCGAATAAAAGTAACAGTGCGGAGGGAGAGAAAAGCAAAGTAAAAGATACTGTATCGCTTGACCCTCCAAATCGGACGGAAACTTGGTTTCCCTTTATGCGTTCTTTTTTTATTATAATCCATGTCCTTTAGTTCGACCAAATCATGGATGCCTTCCTCTTTTTTTAATAACCAGAATCATCTATGCCTTCCTTTTAACGTGGGTTTAGCAGCATTATTAGGAGTAATATTAAGAGAAGAGTAATATTAGGAGAAGATGCTTATTACAAAACGTATTTGGTTGTTTATTATTTTTGTGATTAAAGAGATAATATGGATTAATTTTGGACACCTATAATTAAATTGCCGAAACCAGACGATATTGTTCGGTTGAGCTTTTGATAAAAGATTTTTCAGGTCGATCCACTGGTACGCTACATTTTTCAATCCAAGGTTATTACTTTAATGGTATAAGTGATGTTGCAAAAAAAATTTGTTTGGACCGGATGACACCAAACTGTAATAATGTGGTCCGGTATAAAATAATTGACGTGGTTAAATCACGATTTTAGAACAAAATATCATATCACTAATTTTTATAATACAATCTCTTGTGCAGTTTAGAAAGAATGTACAAATTTAATTCACAATAATCTTAACATACAATCAAATTATTTTACTATTACATAACCAATAAAAAAACATATTTATCACATTTCCCAATACCCACTTTCCTTCCCACTTTCTTTCATAAAACAACATTTTCCTTCCAATTTCTCTCACCTCCACATCTCCCTTCCCCTCCTAATTTTCCTTCACCTCCCCTCCTTTTCCTCCCTTCCTTCAGAAACACAGGGTAATACAATAACAATGCAAGTGATTTTTTTAGCATGATAAATAAATAAATAAATAAAAATTGTCTTGTCATCGTATTGAAAATGATAATTTAAAATATAAATATCTATTAACTCTTCAATTTATGTATTTTATAAGAAAGCATTTTCAATTGGACTTTCAGAACACAAAAAGGACTTTAATGATGAATATACATATTATGTTTATACATACATGAAAATATTTACCAATTAGCAGCACTAATGCTAATTAATAGTTTTAAATCCACCATAACGGTAATCAATCAATTATATATCGGAATCGAGACAACCCGAGCATTACGACAATGCAATCACGAATCACAATGAATGTTAGGACGATATTCTGTAACTTTATTTTTGTTAATAAACACTCTAAAATGATTTGTAACATCCCGAACATTTTCTCGTCAAGATATTGTCCGCTTTGAGCATAGATCCCCATGATTTTTGCTTTAAAGTGCATATTAAGATGACTTCCCATGAGATCACCTATCATTACAGTGCTCCATAGTAAGCACGTCCAGCTTTATAGGAACTCCCTCATTTCAATTCAAAATAAGTCTTGTCAATTAAATTCAGTTTTACCTTATAAAATAAATCTCTCCGTATGGGATTTACTTTTCCATCTATTAATGGAGTTAGTATTTTGGAAATTAGGTGCCAAGTCCTTCTACTGTAGCCCAGCAAGCATAGTGGTCTAGGGCTGCAAATGAGCCGAATCGAGTCGAGTTTTACCCCAGTTTGAGCTCGACTCGTTAATAAACGGGTTGACCTCGAGCTCGTTAATAAACGAGTTGACCTTGAGCTTGGCTTGTTCTCAACTCATTTAGTAACGAGCCGAGTCGAGTTCGAGCTAGCTTGCTTAAAATCTTGACTTGTATTTGATATATTCATTTTGTATATCATACATGATACATGTTATTAATGTGAAGATGAAGAAAATAATAATAATATTATTATTATTAATTAAGTGTTCAATATTAAGTAATCACATGTTATACTTTGTTGTATCAAATTATTTAGTTAATAAATTTAACTAGTGAAATTTATGTTATTTCACACCATCGAAGCAATCTATGATACATAATTGCTTTATAAAATTAAGATAAGGCATATTTGCTCACATAATCTACGTGTTAAACTTCATATAGAGTAAGATATATAATTTAACAATCCTATGAATTATCAAAATCTAACTCATAAAAATTGATTCGCTCATAACTCGCGGTAATCGAGTTGGCTCTCTAGCCACAATGTCGAGAGTTTGAGACATCTCATTAGCTTTAAACGAGCTAGCTCACGACAAATTGAGCTCCACAAGCTACCGAGTCAAGCTAGCTCGCGAGCTGCAAGAGGCTAAACTCAAACTCGACTTATTAGTAAACGAGCCAAATTTCGAATAATTTTTTTTTCCTCAATCGAATAACGAGCCGCTTGCGCAGCTCGACTAATTTTGAAGGCGTAGTGTAATAGAGGTGGGAGTACTCTACAAAGCTCACATTACACATGAGTCATCACTCATCAGCTAGTATAGGATAACTGGAGATGCATTATTAATTTATTATCATTCAATATAAATTTCTCTTCCTTATATATTTTTTTTGTGCTAATTTGGTACAGGCTAATGGCATGTGCGCCACGTGAGTATCCAAAGAAAGGCATCTTTCTTTCCTTCATTGGCCACTCTATCTCCCCCACCAAATTTCTACAAACTATTCTGCATTTCTGCCCTTCATGTGGTGTGGGCAAAAAGTCTGAAAAATATTAAACTAATCAACACTACCACTCCCCTCGAACACTAATTTGTCCTTCCGGTCAAATCCCAGATTTTTTTTTTTTTTAAAACTAATTTGCTAGATCTACAACGCCCAAACACCAGCCATGTGATCTCTGATTCCCTACTGCTTACTATAACTAGAGGAATAATTGGCGAGCGAGCAATTCGAGGACCCCTGCACCATCAACAACTGCGCCGGCGTCACCGCAGCCGACGACGACGACAACGACCGCGGGCTCTCCCCCGTCTTCACCGCCGGCTTCACCTTCTGTCCCCCCTCGCTCCCGCCGCCGCCGCCGCCCCCGATCGGCTCGTGCCGAATCTCCCTCAGCAGCGCCGCCACGTCCTTCATCGTCGGCCGGTCCTCCGCCCGGTTGCTCGTGCACAGGAGCGAGATCCCCAGGGCTTGGAGCATTTCCTGTATTTGCGTCTCCGGGTGGCCTTGCAGCTTCGGGTCGAGAATGTCAACCGGATCCTTCTTGCTCTTCAGATGCTCTCTCGCCCATTGGACCACGTGTTGCCCCTCGGTGAACGTTGGGTCGACCGGTTTCTTGCCCGTTATGATCTCCAATAAAACTACTCCGTAGCTGTACACGTCGCTCTTCTCCGTAATTTTCAGCATACAAGCATACTCTACAAGAATAATCGATTTATCAAATTAGAAAATAAATTTGGTAAGAATTAGATTTGAATGGGGCGGAACGGAATTAGGATTTTTTTTAATTACCCGGTGCCATGTAGCCATACGAACCGGCCAGCTGCGGGTTGGCCGAGAACGAACCGTGCCCGTCCTCCACGAGCCTGGCCAGACCGAAATCGGCGAGGCAGGACTCGAACCGGTCGCCGATGAGGATGTTGTGCGACTTCACGTCGCGGTGGAGGATCGCCGGGACGCAATCGTGGTGGAGGTACGCCAATCCTTCGGCGACGCCCAACGCGATCTTGAATCGGGTCTCCCATTCGACCAAAAGCCCGCAGTTTCCTTCGTGGAGAAACTCTCCTAATGTGCCATTCGCCATGTAATCGTAGAAGAGGAGCTTGGTCTTTCGATTGGCCGCCCATCCCAACAGGCGGACGATGTTCCGGTGGCGGATTCTTGCGAGGGTCGCGATCTCCGATGAGAACGCGGCGGCGGAGACTTTCTCCGAGGATTTGAATTTCTTGACGGCTAGGGTTGTCCCCGAGGAGACCGTGACCCTGTAGACGACCCCAGTGCGGCCGCGGCCTATGACGTTTGCGGACGTCAGGGACCTTGCCACGTCGGAAATTGACAGGTCAAGCTTCTGATACAACGTCACTTCCCACGGTGGGCCCATCTCCACGTCGGCGTCGGCATCGAGATGGTCGCAATCGTCGTCGGGCCCACCGTTCCGGCCCCGCCTTCTGCTGGCGAGGATAATGTACAGCGCCGCCACCAGCAGGGCGCAGGCCACGGAGAGCAGGACCACCATCACCAGCCGCGCCACCGTCGACCGCCGCCGATCCTTGCCGTACCCGGCCGCGCAGGGGCTTCCGGGGAGGCAGAGGGAAGGGTTGCCGGAGAGGACGCTCACGGGGAGCTTGGAGAAGAACGGGGTGTCGGGGACTCTCCCGGAGAAATTGTTGTGGGAGACGTTGAGCACCACGAGGTTTTGCATGTCGGCGAGGGATTGAAGGTCGCCAGTGAGCTGGTTGTGGGAGAGATCCAAGATCCCGAGCTTGTCGAGCTCAGTGAACAGAGTGGGGATGTCGCCGGTGAGTTGATTCCAGCTGAGATTCAGAGCTATTTCGAACGAAGGGATCTTCCCCAGACTCGCCGGAATGTTTCCCTGTAGCTGATTGCTGCTTAGGTCAAGTAGCTGCAACTTCGAGCAGGATCCGAGCTCATCGGGTACCCGACCCGACAACCGGTTCGCGGACAGGACGAGTTTGGTGAGCGAGCTCAACTCGCCAAGACCGGCAGTCAGATTGCCTTCAATCATATTACCGGAGAAATCAACGAACTGAAGCGAAGCGAGCTGACCGAGACTCCGGGGAAGCTCGCCTGAGATCGAATTAGAATGCAAATCCAGAAACGTGAGATTCCGACAACCGGAGATTTCCTCCGGTATGGCGCCATTGATCCTGTTCGATCCAAGATCCAAGAAATTCAAATTCTTCAAGTTCCCAATCTGGGGCGGAATCGACCCAGTGAGGCGGTTCCCATTCGCACGAAACCGAATCAACGCCGAGCAGTTCCCGATCTCCGGAGGAATCTCGCCGGAGAGACTGTTGGAGAGGAGCAACAGCTTGTTGAGTTTGGTGAGCTGGAATATCCCCTTGGGGATGGGTCCCATCAATCCGTTCTGCGACATATCCACGGCCTCCAGATTCCAGCAATTAGAAATGGACGCCGGGATGTTCCCCTCGAGCTTGTTGTGCCAGAGGAACAGCAGCGTGAGATTCACCAACTGCCCAATCTCCACCGGGATGGCGCCGGAGATGAGATTGTTATCGAGCTCGATGTGGGTCAGCTCCCGGCAGTTCCCAATCTGCGGCGGAATCACCCCGGAGATTTGGTTCACGCTCAGCTGCAACTCCTCCAGCTCCGTCAAGTTCCCAAACGACTGCGGAATGCTGCCGGTCAACGAGTTCATCGAAACGTCAACGACCAGCATCTTCCTGCAGTTCCCGAGCTCCGGCGGGATAATCCCCACCAAATTGTTCTGCCACAGCAGCAGATTCTTTAGCTCCGTCAGCTTCCCCAGCGCGCTCGGAATCGAACCGGACAGCGAGTTCTCATACAGATAAACATTCTCCAGCGCCGTACAGTCGCCGAGCTCCGGCGGGATTTGTCCGGAAAGCAGAGCAGTATAGATCGCAATCGTCTGCAGATTCCTCAGCCGGCCCAGCGTCGCCGGTAACGAACCGGAGATGCTGGTCTCCGCCAACCCAAGCACGGTCAGATTATCACAACCCCCAATCTCCACAGGAATCGATCCTTCCAGATTCTTATTCCCACCGATTCGAATCACCTCCAGGCTCTTCAACCTCCCTATGGTATCGGGAACCCTGCCGCCGAGCTGGTTATCGAACAAAACCAGCCACTTCAGCCCCGTCAGATTCCCGATTCGATCGGGGATCGAACCCTCGAGCTGATTCGAGTTCAGGTGGAGCTCTTCGAGCTTCCCCAGGTCGAAGAGCTCCACGGGGATCTCCCCAGTCAACGCATTGTCGCTCAAGTCCAAGTAAGTCAGCTCCGGGAGGAGGGTTCCGATCTCCCTGGGGATCGAACCGGTCAGGTTGGTTCCGGTGAGGACAAGCGTGGTCAGCGTCGACGACAGGGCGGTGAAATTGGATGGCAGGGCGCCGTACAAATCGACATACCGGAGATCCAATCCCACGACTTGGCTGTTGGAGTTGCAGGTGACGCCGGACCAGGCGCATGGGGTCGGGCTGGCGGCGTCCCAGTTCCGGAGAGCGTCAGGGGAAGGGTTCAGGGTGTTCTTCCATGATAGGAGAGATTGGCCCTGTGGGTTTAGAGCGAAAACAGGGGAGGAAGAAGAGGAGAGGAAGTGGAAGAAGAGTAGGAGTGAAAAGAGGGAGAATGGATTTACAGGCATTAGAAATAGAGGAAGAGGAGGAGGAGGTTAAGGTGGGCTTGGGTAAACTAAATATGGGTAAGGATGCAAATTCCGAGGGGGAAGGAGGTGGAAATGGGGAAGTTCTGGGAGAGATTTGAGGAGCTTAGGGAGGAGGAACAAAGGAGAGAAGAAGGAGGAGCAAAGGGAGAAGGTGAGGGAGTGAGGGAGAGGAAGAACAAGCACCAAAACCAACCATGTCTTGCTTGCTTTGGTGGGTTTAGTAGTTTAATTAATTGTGGTTTGGTCTTTTGGATTAGTTAATTTGGGGGCAGTGCTACTGCTTTTTCTTACTTTTTTTTTCTGCTTCTTCTTCTGGTGACGGGTTTAGGGTTTATAAAAAAATGGGAAGGAGGGGAGGGCACAGAATCCCGGATCCAAGAAAGAAACAGCTAAGGCATCATGTGTTTGAGCAGAGACTTGCTTGTTAGTGTGAGAGATTGATGGAGAGGGTGAATGGGAGTTGTTTTTGGAAAGGTGAGATGGGAGGTTGAATTTCGATTAGTAGTAGCACTGTCGGGATTCGAATTGGAGACCTTCGGTTTGGAAGTAATTAGACTGTTTTACTGTGTTCATTACGCACTTGTGCAAATGGATGAGAGTTTTACTAGATGGGGTGAGTTTTGTTTAATGGGTGTCACTTTGTCAGGGCGTGGGGAGAAGATGGAGATGGAGATGGAGATGTGGATAACAAGGTTAGGGTTTCATTCTCTTCTCTGAATGGGGTTGGGTGGTGACTGGTGAGATGAGCAAATTTGTGTCGTATAGTAATTTGCTTTTCCTGCCTTGGTTTCCCGCCAAGTACAACTGTAGCTCTGGTGATCATTGTGGAGTGGGGAAAATATGTAGATGGGAACTCGGCCAGATTAAGATTAACTTTCTGGGTTGGTTTGGAAGTTGCGATAGTTTTGTTGAGATTGTCATTATGCATGTATTGTTTACAATGCATTGTTTTTTTTTTTTGTTTTTTTAGCAGAAACAATACATGGATTGTTTATGTGATGTGACAGAAACTATCACTCATTTTGAGTGATTGTTATATCTCAACTTTTAGTTGTGATTGTTGAGATTGTTTTGTCTCAGCTTTTAGCTGATGCGACATACACAATCACACATACCAAACATTGTATTCTACAATGCATCAAATTCGACAATACATGTATAATATTATACATGCATTCTCAACAATACATCTATTTAACAATCGCAACTTCCAAACGACCCCTCAATGACAAAGAATTGGGGCTAGTTTTGAAGGGGCCCAAACATGACCGATGAAGCTTGAATTTACAATTGCTTTCGTTTGGTATCAAATGAATCGACAATTCATTTCATTTCAGAAATAATTATATTTTAACCCGAAGTAAAATTACCGAGCTTTGCAATTTCACCGGTTAGTTGGCCTCCTCAATTGCCAGAAATGTGGTGGGGGGAGGGTTTAAATTAATACGGTCATTTATTTATTTGTGCAGCCTGCACTGCACTGCAGGTCCATAAGTTAAGTTAAGGGTGCAGAGATTGGATCTAAGAGATGTTTTTTTAATTTCCACTTTCCAGAGATTGGATCAAAACTTTATTACCCGACCTATGAGATTGGATCTAAATATATGTTTTCTAAAGGGTAAAAAAAAAAATAACTCTCAACATTCCACTTAATTAAACCTTGACACAGACCTGCAATCAAGGATGCTAAAATTCAAACCTAAGTGGGGGGGATCAATCCTGTTAATTAACATATTCAATTAGAATTCACATACCAACCCCATTCTTTTCTGAAAAAAAACAAAATTCCATATTTTGAGGGGAAACAAAATTCCAAATATTTCCCAAACCTCATGTTCATAGCCAGAAAATAAGTATAGGATCACCACCCCAAATAAATAAAAAAATAAAAAACCCATATTTTCTTTCTTGCCCCTCTTTTTTCCCCAAAAGGACATTAATCAAGCCATCACGTGATGTCTCGTGACAGACCACTTTAATAAACTAAACCCACAACCTAATTATTGTGATTAATATAAGATAATCCAGTTCTGCACACAAGGTAGCTAGCTGGGCAGGCAGGTTGCTTTTGGCCTGTGACTTTCTTTCTTTCTTGCTTGCTTGTGAGTGTGATTAGTTTAATATGTATATTGGGAATCTAAGCACGATGATTGATTGTATTTGCTGCACTAGCTACTGGTTAGCAATGGGGAAAGAAGTAAAAAAAAGAAGAAGACCCAAGGAAGAAGAAGAAGAAGGCAGCACAGCACATGATGATAGAGAAACCAAAAGAAAAGAAAAGAGTTGCAGAAAAAAAGGGGAGAGTTTTGTTTTGTAATTGAAAAAATGGAAGGCCAAACCGCCCATGGTGTAGGGTAAGGGCACATTGCTATGTCCTTTCTTTTTCGTCATTTATCTCTTTATATATATATATGATGATAATGATGCATTTTGGGGTCTTTCTCCATGTGCCCATTACTCAGGGACAAGCTGAGATAAAAACCAGTCTTATCGGTCGGTCCGACCGAAAATATCAGATATCGAATCCAAATCAATACCTGATTTTAGAGGTGGAAAACGGTTGAACCAAGGTTTCGGTATAAAAAAAAAACTATTATGTACTTTTTCGGTACGCGAGTCAATAGGTAGCCATGTGTGGGACTTAGATTACTTAGTAAGTACCCAAATTTACCGTTGTATTATGCTAACTTTGTAGTAGTGTGTGAAGTTTAGGGTACGACTACGATGATTTTCAATTCATCATAATTGGGACAAAAAAAAATGTTGACATTTTATGAGAATTGGTCTACCGGCCGATGACGCGCTTAATCTTGTTGCGACGAGGTTTCATAATTTTGAAGGAAAAGAACTGTCAACCGTTTTCTTCAGCAGGTCGAGTGGACGACATAATGAACGACCATTATGTTGAAGAGGCCAACCTCTTGGGATGGCAGGTCGACCAAAATTAAGAAGATGCTCACATCAATGATGTTGATATACATGTTGACCGTTTTGAAGTGTAGACGCTAAGTTGCTAACCGACGAAGTTGGTGTTTGCTCTAGTCGATAGGATTAGGGAAACAGAATGTCCAACGGTTGCTAAAAAAAAATCAAAATTCAATCCACAATCATAAATGAAAAAAAAAACATCTTAATCGATAATACTTAGACACAATATACACAATTGACAAAAGTCCACAAATGTCTCAAATACAAAACAATAGCGACTTAAACTTAATCCAAAATACAAATAAAATGCACAATGTCATTCGTTAATCCCCTAATCTATCTCATCGTGATTTTTCGGATTGGTGGTACGAAAATTCCCGTGCTTGAATGTGGTAGGATATACGTGTCTTCCACTAAAGGATCCAGCTTCATCTTGCATCTCATTTACAGTCAACTGAAGTGTGTCCATCTGGTTGGATATATGCCCAATATAATTCGGCATATCATCATGTGATTCCATGTATCGTTAAGGGTGATTAGTGGAACGAAATTATTTGGTTGTGTCATTCGCTCTTTCATGGCCTCTTCATCAGTCTCGTCCTCGTCTTCATTTACATTGTTAGCTCAGATATACACACCATCACACAACCAGAATTATCTGGTTTTTAACTCTTAAGCAAATCTCGTCACTTAAATTCATATTAAAATGCTCAAATTTCAAAGTCAATATGATACCATATGGAAGAATCTTGCTCTAATTATTCACAACAGCAAGCATATTATTGAAAATCATATATGACAAGTTCACCTTTATATGGCCGAGTAGGTGAGTGAGAAGCTCCATGTCAAAGTAGATAATTGTTACACGATGTCCACCATTTGGAAGAATGTGTTCGAACTTGGCCTACTACGTACGGATGTCAACTTCTTCACCATTAGGAGGCCACAAACAATTCGTATTTTGATATCCCTTGAATAGCGAGTTTCATTTCAAATACTAAAAGAAATGATTTTCCTTCCACTATTTGGAATTTCAAATACATATGCAAACATCTATTAAGTGATAGTCATCTCAACCACATTTGCATAGGATATAAAATATTGTACCAATTTTGGATAGTAAGACACATCAAGTTTTAGTGGCACTAGGATTCTTATATTATTTTTCATGCATTTTTTGTAGTGTTCCATGTGATTTCAAGCTAAAGTATTCTAGTGGACCATCTTGTACGAGTGGGGAACATCAAGGCATGATGGATAGAAGTCAGAATTAGAGAATGGATCAAAGTCTAGAAAATGGCATGAAATTAGTCGACCCTAGCCCAAAATGGCGCCTGGGCTGCCATTTCTGGGAGTCTCCAGACCGAGCTCAGATTTGGAAGAAATATGCTAAACTTGGTAGCCAAGCTTGAAGATACTCGAAGGAGCTCGGCAGATGTGTATTAAACCAACTTTTCCTGGCAGACAACCTTATGCAAAGGCCTATAAATAAACATCTAGGGGATAGAAGTTTGACAGCAGTGATAAGAGGCATTAAAGGATCATTACTTGTCTTTAGATTATTTAGAGAGATTGACACCATAAGAGCAATAGTCTACATCCTAAAACCAGACCACGGAACATGATTTTTCACCATTGAACACCATATCAAACTTTATTTCCCTCTTGTACTGACTTGATTGGCAAGGAAACTTGGTAGGATGTTCCTCAATTATAAAATGAAATTCTTTGATGTTGTATCAAGGTTTTCAACTAGTGGACTGACTAGTCGATCGAATCAATTTGACTCGATATCTTAAAATTCCAATAATAACATAGTAAATGAGTCTGCACAGACTCAATCAAGCCCACAAGAACCGCTTAGTTCAACCAACTGGTTAAATTTTTTCTTAAAAAACCGAGAATTTAATTATACATGTTGAGGTTAAAACCATGGATCTCAAGAATATAGGTAAATTGTTTTTACCACTACACTATAAAATTAATTGTGTGCATATCTTGCTATTTCTTATTTCATTCATCTTTGGGTCATGATAGAATATTTTGTTAGTTACATACTACATGAATTTTAAGGAAATTGATTTGAGTATGATGTGATTGATGTTCAAAATTTCTCATATGGTTGATGCAATCCAGATGAATATGGATATTGATGGTCCATTTTTGAAGATTGAGTGCTTTGATTTTTATATTTTGAACTTTAAGTGGTAATATTAGAATATTGATGTTATATGTTTAATTTTAAGTATGTTAGATACTTTTACCATATTGAACTTAAGTGTAAACGTCTTGAAGTTGACGTTACATGTTATATTCAAGTATCAGTATTTGTTATCTTGATCTACTGTTATAGTTTATATGAAGGTGAATATTGGGAGATTGTTGAAAAATGTAATGACATTTTTACGCATCCGGGATAAATCAATTTGATAAATAAACCTTAACTCACTTACTCGACCATACAAAAGATTGAAACCAGGTTGAATTGTATTTTTTTCGGGCTATGTTTGTTTTTAAACCATCCAAAAATTTAGGATATGCCCATAATGACTTTCAAGTCACCATAACTTGGACAAAAAGGTCCATCACATCTGAAAATGGTCGTCTGAATGGAACACTTACAATGCGACTAACCATTACAAATGAAAAGAATGGTTGATCGGTTATATGTTGTACTCGACCTAATGGTGTAAAGGTCGACGTTCAGAAATAATCTGGCCAATCACACCAAGAAAAGGTCGGTGTTCAGAAATAAACTGGTTGACTGCACCATGGAAAGGTCGACCGGTTGGGGTTAACGATATCTTCATACCTCAAGCGAAAGCATCAAGAGTGCTCTAATGACAATAAACCCCGTGATTGCACTTGAAAGATCGACCAGTCAGTCGACATGCATGGTTGACCTGTTGATCTACACGTATTGCACCAACAACTACCTTTGATGTTTGACGTCTTTTCTTCTTCGCGAGGCTTAAAAGCACAATAATTTGTTACATGATTTTTAAAGTGATAAACAAATAATGTAGATTGTTATTTATGAGGCTTATGTTGTAATTAACTCGACTTAGATGGTAGCGAAGTAATTGTTTAATACTAAACTATTTCTAATAAGGTAATTGTCAATCGATGTTCTATGGTTAATTTTAAGTATGTTAGATATTTTTATAATATTTGAACTTAAGTGTAAATGTCTTGAAGTTGACGTTATATGTTGTTTTCAAGTATAACATTTGTTATCTTGATGTAATGCTCTATTTTATTTGAATTTGAATATTGGGAGATTGTTGAGACTCAACATTTTTTACGCATCCGGGATTAGTCAATTTCATCACTAAGCCTTAACCCACTTCCTCGACCATACAAAAGATTGAAACTAGGTTGACTTGTATTTTTTTGTTTTACGGGGTATCTTTGCTTTTAGACCATCCACAAATTTAGGGTATTGCCCATAATAACTTTCAAGTTTCAAGTCACCTTGACTTGGACAAAAAGGTCGACCAAATATGAAAATTGTCTACTCAATACTCTTACAACGAGACTAACCATTACAAATGAAAAGAATGGTTGATCGCTTATATGTTGTTGTCAACCTGATGATGAAAAGTTCGACGTTCAAAAATAAACTGGCCAACCGCACCATTGAAAGGTCGGTGTTCAGGTCTAATTTGGTCGACCGCACCATGGAAAGGTTGACCCGAAGATATCTCCATAACTCAAGTCAAAGTCGTGGAGAGTGCTCTAATGACAATGAACCTCATGATTGCACTTGAAAAATCAATCGGTCAGCTGACATGGTTGACCTGTTGATCTACACGTATTGCACCAACAACTACCTTTGATGTTTCGACGTCTTTTCTTCTTCACCGGGCTCAAAAGTCACAATAATTTGTTTACATGATTTTAGAGTGAAACAAATAATGTAGATTGTTATTTATGCATACAAAAATTAGACATATATGTAGAACTTCAAAAGTTTAGGTACCAAAATGTAATATGCATAAATTTTAGGTACTAAAATTTAATGTTCCATCAACATTTTGATGACTTATATGTCAAAAAAATAAATCTAGGTTATAAATATAAAGATTTATTAAGTTCAGCTACCAAACTGTAATTTGCATAGTTGAGGCTTAATTCCTTTTATGGTGATGTATCTAAGATGATAATTATTTACCTTTTTATAGAAAAATGGAAACTATTTATTTTATATGTGTAGATACCTAGCCAAACATTCCATGTATAATTATTGAAAATTCTAACCCGGGTGAAAAGGAAAACTCTGGAGAGAAGTAAAAAGAATACAAACTGAAACTCGCTTAAAATTTCACGCCTTCAAATCCCATAATGAAAAATGACGACATTCTAATAAGTAATAACCATATATATTTATTTTTAATTAGACTCGGCATTGAGCTAAAAAAGTTAGTGGTTCATGCTTCAATTATTAATTCCCTAGACTGTTGGTGAGTCGTGTATGGACCCTTTCATACTTGTGATTCGAATACATAAAAATAGTATACTAATTAGGGTTAGACGAAGAAGGCAAAGAAAGAAATAAAGAAAGGGTCATGGAAGGCGAGTGAAAAATGAAATGAAGAGGAAATAGATGATGGAATGTTTTGATTAATTCTTTTAGTTGGTCGTCAATACAACAGTGAACCCTTTTAGATGTCTCATATTTTGTAACATGTAGCTAGTAGAAGTTTGTTTAGTACCTCAGAAATGTACTAAATGTGTTTATAAGTTCGCTCTTGCAATATTTTAGAGCCGTCTCTCTTTTATCATTTATTTAATGTTTCACGTTATGAGCAAATATAAAATGACCGAATCTTCTCCTAAAGTTGAGTGATACAACATCTTGTATTGTACATACTAAATTTATACTTTTATGTTATGGTGGATTGGATTCATAGATTCAAGTGAAATCTAAACGTTGGACCATTATGTATATTTAACTAAAATTGGGGATTAGGTAGAAAAATCTCAAAAAATTTAGATACTAAACATAATTGTTCAATTATTTTACATTAAAAGTGAATTTGGGGTCTCTAAATGTAAAATGTAAATTATAGTAACTAAGTTGTGATTTAATTAAATTTGGGGTATCAAATTGTAAATAATTATGCAACAGTAAACAAACTTCAGATTTATATATAGTAACTATTTCTAATAAGGTAATTACCAACCGATTGACCGTGTTTTTTTTGTAATCGTAACATCTTATCGATAATTTTTCGAGAGTGACTTACCGTATGTAACTTCCAAATCATCGAAACAAAGTCCTAAAATTTAAACAACCTAGTCTAGTGACATTTATAATATTATGTTCAAATTTGGCTTTAATTAAAAGGAAAAGGCATGCATATTATATATAACATACAAGATCGTGCACCTGTAATTATCAACAAAATCTTTTCATCAACGAGCGTGTGGAATTGATCACTTGTGATCTTTGAATTCAGATCGTGATTCCAAATCATCATCCGTCCATGCCAATATTTAAAATCTCCAGATACGCTAATAATTGTTCACTATCACTAGTCGATACTCGATCCCTCCCAATTCTTTTATGTGGTCAAGCGAGGTTAATTAATTAATTTGTTTTAATACAATTTATTGGTAAATTGGACACTAGCTATCACTAGTTGCTCCAATCCCGGCACTCTTGTCGGTTTCTAACATATTGCACCATGGATTGTTTGATTGTTAAATTGGTCACTATTGCAAGTTATTTAAAGTGGATTCACTAGTTTATATTAATTTATGTTGTATTGTAAATTTTTTGTTGTCACAACAGCGGAAGAAATTTTCAAATGAATTATGAGTAATTGAGATGAAATTTTCAAATGAATTTTACGGTATTTTTATCTATTATAATAAAATGACATAATTATCTTTATTTATTAACTAAATTACTTCTACATATATTATTTGGCGCCTATACACAAATTATACACGCCTAACCCTCATCTAACTCACTATATGTTAACCTAATATAGATCGTTTTTCCTGAATCATGCATTTCGAGCGACTCCAAATTTCAATCTGAGGGCTAAGCGGCAATCTACTATTTGACAATGAAACCAACTTTACTGCTATTTCCAACCTACACACCCAACGTCGTCATCAGGTTAGGTTGGTTTATATATATGCGTTCCTTTTGCGGTTACTTTGATGGAGATTGTTTATATATATATATATGAACGGTTCTATCGTACCTTGATTAAAATCAAAGGTATAGTATACCTTGAGTAAAAAATGATATCTAAATATTGAATTGACCGGAGTTTGGGACATGATACTGTACTTTAATCCTTAGAGATTAAAATCAGGGTCTTAATTCTACAAATCTGTACACCTTGAGTAAAAAATGATATCTAAATATTGAATTGACCGGAGTTTGGGACATGGTACTGTACTTTAATCCTTAGAGATTGAAATCAGGGTCTTAATTCTACAAATCTGTACACTAAGATCAATTTGATTAGAAACAACAATCGACGACACGATTCGTCGAAATATATGCAACAAATTACGTGCGTCATTTTGGGGTTTAAGGTATTTGATTTAGATAACTAAGATCTAGGGTTTACTCATTAAGGGTTAGGGCATAGTATCATGGCCCAAAATCGGGTCAATTCAAGGTCTAGATATCGTTTTCTTACTCAGGGTATGTCATACCCTAAATTTTACCCAAGGTTCGATAGAAGCTACCATATATATATGGCTACTTCGGTGCACTCAGTGCACCCAACTCTAAAAGTGTCCATAATATATCAAATTTTGAACTTTAATTAGTACTCTCAATCTAATATGATGATATGACATAGAATCATAACAAATCAATATATTACCCTAACTCCTTAACCTTCAATTTTGAATCCCAACGTAAAATTCCAAATTGTAAACTTAAACCCTAACCCTAAACCCCTAAATCTTTCAAATTAAAGTGAATCTCAAATTATTTTTTTCTTCAAATTCATGTGCTTCTTGTTCACAATATCATAAGCAACAATTGATACCGTTTTGACATGAATCGCATGCTCAAAATGGTGATGATAAGGCAGGTGCATGAATGCATCCAAAAAAGTGGTTGCACCGAATACGCCACCATATAAATAAATATATATGGTTCCTTCTACGGTACCTTGGGTAAAATCCGGGGTACCGCATACCTTGAGTATGAAAACACTATCTAGACCTTGAATTAGTAGGATTTTTGAGCGTGATACTATACCCTAACTCTTAATGAGTGAACCCTACGTCCTAGTTATCCAAATCATAAACTATAAACCCTAAGATGGTTTTGGAAATCAATTCATTTTATTCTAAATATTTGAATATGAAATATCACACACAATAGTTCATTTGACAATAAATTCTACGCAGTAATTTATTTTAAAATGAAATGAATTCCTTATCCATTTGGTACCAAACGGTCCGTTCGATTTCCTTTCTCGATGAATCTTTTATTTTGACTCACAAGTCGCTTTCAGACGAACCATGTTTGACTCAAGTTAACATTCATATTATTTCTATTCCTTTTTTTTTTTTGACGAATCATATTATTTCTATTCCATTGTAAGAACCAAACCATATCAACGGTTGGACCAGTAGAACCGTCAAATCATTTACAATAGAGGTCCTGGTTCATTGCATAGACGGTTATTGATGAACCAAACGATTTTCACAGTTCAACATAAAATCAAATAAACCACCACGGTTTAATTTGTCCACGGGTTCACTATATTAGAAAAAAAATACTTTAACATTAACTAAGACCATCAAACCATAATTTTTAATTTTATATATGCTTACACTTCTCATTTCCAACCTTGTTGTCGACTTTACGATGTCACTATCGACTGGCACCGTAATTTTTAATTTGAATTAGAAAATGAGATAATACCACTAGGAAACTCAAACTATTAAGAATGTGTCATTTGTGTCCTAAAGTATCCAATATGACAATTGTGTCCTAAACTATTTTTCGTTAGAGTTGACCGGCGTTGACCGTTAGTATTTAACAAATGGCACGTTCTGAATAGTTCGGGTTAGGACGTAAATGACACAAAACTATAATAAGTTGGGACATAAATGACACAAAACTCTAATAGGTTAGGACACAAATGTCATATTAGATACTATAGGACACAAATTACACATTCTTAATAGTTCGGGTTTTCTAATGGTATTAGCCCTTAGAAAAATTATGATTTCTTTTGTGAGATGGTTTGAATGATTTATTAGATATTTTAGTGATGATATGAATTTGAAATTACAGCGACCAACCTTGCAATTTACTCATTCCCTTTGTCTTCCATGCTAGCCAAACATAAACGTTTTTTGTAATTACCGTGACCAACCTTGCAATTTACCCATTCCCTTTTGTTTGACAAAACTAACCCAATTTTAAAAGGATACTAAACGGCGCCTACGACTAGAAAGAAGCAAAAGAAAAGTGGTAAAAGTAGTTCACGATGATGCACTTCAAATATCAATCCCCCTTTTTTTGCTCAAATAGTTCGATGTTATTTTTAACAAAAAACAAAGGTGATCGCGGCCGGAAAGAAATATAAAGAAACTTCGTTCGGTCTAATTATCGAGCAACAAATCGATCATTCACATGAATTTCCGGCCAAACCATTACAAATTTATATTATTATTGTAGAACTGAAAGTAGCCTTTTTTTTACGTCAAATGGAAAACAGAGGATTTGGTGCACATCCATCCATCCCCATTTCCCGGGCCACTGAGATGGTGGCAGCAGTCCTTAACACTAATCCCGACCAGACGCCCGGAATTCAGCAAACCGTCTTTTTTTATTGTGCGGCCGAGCGGTGGCGCTTGCATCATCCTCCATCGCCTTAATTGGAATAAATAAAGAAATAACGTATTGGACAATGCAAGAGGCGGAGAGTGAATCACCAAGAATGGCTTTCGACAAACATCACTGGGCAATTTGAATCCACCTCGCAGGTGATAGGACCTCCAGTTTCTAAACTAGTGGTATTATCGCTAGGTCAAGCTCTTGTTCGTAGTTTATCTCAATTTCTTACATTATTTATACATATTTCTGCTATTTCGAGTTTTCTTCAACTAATTATAGTCGATCTTTCAACTTATTAGACTCAATTACCCATTATATTATCACAATTTTTCATTCATAAAATGTTTTCCCCTTCGTTTTATCGTAAAAAGTAAAATTTACGTGTTTTTTTTCAAATAACATGTAAAAATAGGTCGACCCGCCCCGTACCGGCGCGAATTTTATACGTCCCAACCCGTAATAACGTGAGGCGAGGCATGAGAATTGAGGTACCCACCCTACACCACCGCATTGCCATCACTTGTCGGACTACGAATGACAAGTGATCAATCCGGAATTTTGATGTAGAAATTAACATCTTACACGTACTAAGAATTGGAGGGTAGGGAGATGTGAGTGATTAAATAGCTAGGGACTAGAGATGTCTTTCATCCAAAAAAAATTAATTAAAAACAAAATAATCGATAAGTACAAGTTACTAAAAAATAGGGTAAATACTACTAGAAAACCCGAACTATCAAGAATGTGTCATTTGTGTCCTAAACTATCTAATGTGATATTTGTGTCCTGTGTATGATAGTTATGTGTTTTTTATGTCCTGACAATTTCGTTGACCATTATAGATAACGGTTGACTTTTGTTGACATGGCAAAAATGTGTCAGCCACGTAGATCAGACGGAATGGAGCTGGGGATGCCGCTGATGGAGCTAGGGAGTGGCTAAGGTCAAGGTTGATTGTGGTCTGTGGAGGGAGAAGGGGGAGAGGTCAGAGAAAACTACGAAGGAGAAGGGGACGGGAGAGGTGTAAGTATTTTATTTTGCATTTTTGTACTTAAATTTTTCATTAGATGGAAAATTAACTAAAAATTCATATTAAAATTTCAAGTCAGATGCCACGTCAACTGGATTTTCCGTTAAATATTTGATCAATGTCAGTCAACTCTAACAGACAAATAATTTAGGACATAAATGTCATATTGGATATTTTAGGACACAAATGACACATTCTTAATAGTTCGGGTTTCCTAGTGGTATTAGCACTAAAAAATACCACAAAGTGTTATCATCTTCTTAAAACATTATAAAAAACACTATGTGTCTACAATGTTCAACAAATTTATTTCGATATACATTCTATTCATACTAGACAGTCATTCACGAACTATCAGCCGCTATTTTCGGCTACAAATGGAGTAGTGAACCTCCCAAGTACCTCAGGTTCCCCCTTGGAGCCAAACCGAACGATCCAAGGATCTGGGACTCAATGCTTGATAAGTTATAGGGTAAACTTAATGGCTGGGGGAGCAAACATCTATCCACTTGTGCGAGGCTGGTTCTGTGTAAAGTGGTTCTGTCAAGTACGCCTTCCTACCTGTTTTCTCTTGTCAAGGTGATGGTGTTCGTTACTAATGATACGGAGAAAGTGCAGAGGAGGTTTATGTGGAATGGTGCGTGGGATTCTAATAAAATGGCTCTTGTAGATTGGAAACTATGTAAAACCGAGAAGAAAAGATGCGGTCTTGACATTCATGATCTGAAAGCTTTCAATGATGCGATGCTATCCAAATGGTTGTGGCGGTTTGCGGTGGAAAGAGACAGTTGGTGGCGTCAATCAATCGCCATCAAATATCAAAACCCTTCCTTGGTTTGGCAGACTGGAAAAGCTAGACATGGGTTCTCTCAATCTGTATGGGCGAATATATCCAAAGAGTACGATCTTTTCTAGGAATTTTGCTAGTATGGATCCTGGAAACAACACTTCTATATCGTTATGGCACGATTGTTGGTCCCCGAGGATGGTCTTGTCTACTTCGTTCCCTCGCGTAGGTGTTGCCGCTGCCGACCCTGATGCTAAACTTTCTGACGTGGCATCCCTTAACCGCTCTAAACGAGTGAGTTGGTATGTAAACTTGAAATTTAATTTGAGGGGTGGGGGGGGTGCTGAGAGGGAGAGAGTAGAGTTAATGAATTTTCTTAAGAACATTGTTTTGTCAAATAACGCATATAGTCCTAGTAGAATAGTGTGGAATCCTAAAAAAATGGCAAGTTCTTTGTGAGCTCTTTATACAGGAATCTGGTGAAGGATGTTCTTTTGGAAATTCAAGATTTTTCGTCCAAGCAAATATGGAAGGTTGTGATTCCGAGCAAAGTGTTCTTCTTCTTGTGGCTTGTCTATCATAATAAGATTCTTACGGTGGACAACTTGAAGAAAAAAGGTTGGTTGTTGGTTAATACATGCTGCCTCTGCTACCATAATGAGGAGTCTGTCTCTCATATGCTTAGGGACTGTGAGTTTGTAAAAGAGGCGTGGCACGTTATTAATCGGTACAGACCACTTTAGTCATTACAAGGTAGAGAGATCACATCGATCATTAAAAATAGCTCTCATACCAAGTCGGACAACACTAAAGATTGGTTTAGAGAGTGTATTCTGCACCCTGTGTGGTGGTACATTTGGTTGGAAAGAAATCAAAGGGTGTTTGAAGAAAAATTTATGACGGCCAAAGCGGTTGCTAGAAGAGCTGCAAGGAACTCAATGGAATGGTTAGTGGCTCATGGGAAAATTGAGAAAATGCAGGGTGAGATCTAGCTGTGCGATGTTTTGGAGGGATGCTGATCCTGGGGAGTAGCTATGTTGATCTTCGCAGAGTATGTGTTCCTGGGGATGGTTTTCCTGGCCTGAGGTGCTGGTGATCAATCGATGGTTTGTGGTTCACTTTTGAGGTTCTAATGCTATTTTTTTGGGGCTTGGACTGGCTCTCAGGCATGTTTGGCTGTGCCTTATCTATTGTCCATTTCTGTTTTGCCGTCTTCGTTGGGGTTTCCCCTGTGGTTTTGTTTTCTTTTGTTGCGTTTGAGTAGGAGCGGTCTGGTCCGCTTTTCTCTACCTCTTTTCCAGTTTTTTCCTTCTTATCGTTTCATTGTGGGATCGATCCTTTTGATCCCCTTTGAATGTACTTTTAATGGTTTTGTTTTGTTTCTTCTTGCAATTTAATTTTATCACCATTATAAAAAAAATATATTATACAAGTTCAATTTGTACCTAGAATCACCATACTTTAGAGCAAAATAGTAGAAGGGGTCGAGAAGGAGGGAGGGGGCGAAGTGGTACCACACCTTTAGTAGACTCTTTGTAACCCAAATACGTTGATTTTTTGTACCAAAAGCCCACAAACCGAGGAAGAACGTGTGATGGAGTACCAAACCTACCATTTTTGGGTTGTGCTCTCCGGCTCCATTACTAAATTCTACCTTATGAGGTATGATTCCCAATGCTCGTACAAGGTGGTCAACTATGGTGTTATGGCCCGAAAAAATCAAAATACTATCCAAAAAGGCGCTAATTGTATAAAAACACGCATAGAGGCTACTAAATGCACTTTAGAACAAATATCAAACAAATCCAAGTTAAAATGACTAAATCTGTGAAGAAATTATGCAAAAGATGTCATAAAATAAGCTCATAAGAATGTATATTTTACGTGTCATCAATAGTTTTGAAAACACATTTTTATGCAATGGTTTTTATTTCACATAAATGTTTTTTTCAGGAATCATAAGACACTACATTAGGGTTTAGGTTGACAAATCAAGTTTGTGCTTCAGATTTTCTTAAGACCCTGTCTAGTATCCGGTTTTTGTTTTGGTTTTCCAATAAAACAGGGAAACACATGTTTAGTATGTTTTTTTTTTTTTTTTTGTTGTGGGCATGTTGGCACCATAAATCACATAAACACAAACAGATGACTTCTCTGTTGCACATAGGTTTTACATCCAACTCTTTTTTCTCCATTTTTCTCTTTCTTCTTTGCTGGAACTCCAGTTTTCTTCGTTCAAAATCTGTCCTCCACTTTTGCCTCTCTCTCTCTGCATTCACTATTGAACGCCAATAGTTGAGCAGTGCAGCTTTCACGAGCTTCCGTAAGCTCAGTAGTCCGCCTCTTTCTCTTCTTCGTCACTGCCTTCTGTTTGTCACAACCATTGGTACGAGACACACCAAATGGTGTAGTTCTTCCATCAGTCGATATTTTGTTGAAACATTTTACTTCTATATCGTTCCCAAAGAACGCCCCTTCCATTTTGTAGCTACTTTCATCCTTTTGTCCCTGTAATAGCAAAAGAAAGTCCTCTTCATAGAAAGAAAAGAAGGGGGAAAAGATGATAATTATATTGAATGATGAAAGGATGTAGGCTGGAGAAAAGGTGTCACTGAGAATTCTAATCACTTAAACATCCAAGAGTTTGAAGAACATTAAGGCCATGCTTGTGGGAACCTACACCGGAAAGCTTTATATCATCCTTGTTCACATCCATTCCAGTTGAACCCAACCTGAAACAAGCATAAGGCAATTCATTCAACCACAAGAAACTGAAACTAGCCAAAGTATTGGAGTACCGAAAAGATCAGTAGAACCTATAAAGATAAGCTTCACACATTGACCTCACAATTCCACTCATATTTTCAGTGACAGCTTCATTAAAACCCTTCAGTAATTAAGATGTCCTGACCAGCTTGTGAACAGCTTTCTAAAAGAGAACTTTGACATCTGAGATTGATAGCAACTAGGCAAAAGGCTCAAGCACATAGAAAGAGAAAACAAGTAACAATGATAATTCACCATCATTAAGATCCAAAATCACAGAAAACACTAAACAGGTGGCTCGTTCCATATCAACATGATGAAGGTTATTGAAATAAATCAATCCAATTTTCCAACCCACGAAATCTGGACACAAAGGAAGTTAATTGACTAACAGGTTACTTATATAGTACAATACCCACCACTAATTTCCTCTACCGGGGAGAGAGGTGAAGGAAATACTGAGGGAACAAATGAGCTTCTCAGTTCTAAGAAAGAAAGATGGTGCGGCAACCTGCCACTCACACAGAAACATCTTGGAGAAGCAAAATAGAAATGGACACAAAAGAACTGCAAGGATTCCATACTGGGAAAGACAAGACAAACATTTGGATAGTTATCATAGACTGTTGTTCAGGTCATAGTGATCAAAATGTTTTCAGTATATGCTTGAGTGGTTGGAGCCATTTTTCATTTGTCAGTGTGAGATTTCCTTCCCAGCAGATGGTATATAGTGATTTTCAGTCTTTAGAATTTGATCAATGAAGGAAATCACCCAGAATTATGATGAACTCAACAGTTAGTCTCGTTGTAGTACAAAAGCACAACCCTTTGCTCATATGAGAAGCTTTGATTTCTGGGACTACTGAATAATTAATTCAGCAGCCCAACAAAGAAGCCACTCAAGTGAAAGGCTAACACCTGCACATTGCCTAAGCCTAACGCTTGTTCACTACTGTTCATTACAGAAATAAATATTCTGGGTTCAAAGTTCAAACACATGTGCAAGAGAATAATCGTAAGCACCAAAAAAAAACCCCAACGAAATTGAACTAGCAACCTAGCGGCCAGGGGATTGGCGAAGAAACAAGAAATAAAGTGCCAAAACTCTGAATTGGTTTTTGTAGAAGGGCATAAACCACACCTGGGGGTAACGCCGTCTCATGACGATAATGAAGAAGGGAGAACTTAGAGAAGGATGAGCTTGAACGGAGCTAGTGCCAGCGGCAACAGATCTCCCGGCAGTGGCGATGATGAACCTTGTGACGCGTGACAGCCTCACGCGTCGGGAACTAGAAATACGAAAACTGAAAGAAACTGAAATTACTTGGGTTTATTCTTCTTTTTATCAATAAAATGCAAGGTTAAGTACATATTTATAGGAGAGGCTTCATAAACCTAATCCTCCTTAAACATGGTAACCCTAACCTAGTCCTATGCTTACTAGAATTAAGAATAATAATCCGACAATAAACTAATAAATCGAAAGAATATCCAAATAATTATAATAAGAGGTAGACCCGCTCTACCCGCCTCTGCCCGGTCCGCGCGAATGCATCAATCCTCCCTCCTTTCGAAAGCCTCGTCCCGAGGCTGCAGTTCAACCCCATCCTCTCCAGCCGATCCGAAATCCTCGATCATGACGAATACATGGTTATTAGCACAACGATGACCATAGGTGAATCGTTCGTCACAGTTGTAGCAGAGCCCATCTCTCCTACGCCTGACAGCCTCCTCTGGTGTCAGGTTGCGAATGACTCGGCGGGTTTGCGGGGGGGGGGGGGGGGGGGGGGGGGGGGGGGGGGGGGGGGTCCTCGTTCCGCCACCGGGGGTGGCGCTAACGTGGCAGCAGCAGGTGGCGGGGGTGGGCCGGAGCTCCCCTTTGGCGCCGCTGACACTCCCCGGTAAACAGCTCCCATTGCCTCCTTCTCGACCCGCATCTCCTCTTCTCGAATCTTGGCCAACCGTTATGCATCCTCGGTATTTTGCGGGTTAAAGGCATGGATGTAGGCCGAAATTTCCGGTTTTAGACCGCCCATGTAGGTCCCCATGATCGCCTCCTTCCCCCACCCACGGCAGCGATTGAGCAACTTCTCGAACGTCTGCTGGTAATCCTCCACGGTGCCTGTCTGCTTGATTTTTGCCAGCGCCTCATGTCCCGCAGCTTTCTCCGAGGCCCCATACCGTTTCCAGAATTCATCACGGAAGTCCTCCCACCACATCTCCTTCCCGCTCTGCTCGAACTCCTCTTCCAACCACATAACCCATTGGTTGGCGTCACCTTCTAGATGGAACGAAGCCAGGACTACCTTTTGTTCCTCCGAGATTCCCTGGTACTTGAAGTACTTCTCCACCCTCGACATCCAACCGGATGGATCTTCATGACGCGTGAAGCGTGGAAACTCAATAGTAGTCTGCCGCCCTTTGAACAGAGCCGCCGCGGCTTCTCCTCTCGCCTCCGATCGCCCGGGACCCACAGCTCCCCGGTTCGGTTCGCCTAGCTCGACCCGGTCACCTTCCCCCGGCTTCTTGGCCTCGCGGTTCAGCCCGCCTTCGGACGAGCCCCAGCCCGTGGTCCGTCCTCTCCCTGTCGCGCCTGCGCCGAACCCGCCAAGCTCCCTCGGCCCATCCTGCTCCGGTCGGCGGGGCCCCGAGCCGCTCGCCCCCGTCCCTGTTCCTCCGGCGCTCCCACTGCGGCCGCCACCCATGCCCGTCGGCAGTCCCGACGGTGGCCGGTAGTCTCCGGTGTCCATCGCCAAGCTCCCCCATGCGCCACCCAGGGCCTGGATCGCATGATCCCGAGTTTTCAGCAGCTCGCCGCCCTGAACTCCCCGAGGTAGCGTGGTATGCGGGGTTACAGGCAGTGGGGATGAGCTTCCCCTCTCCTCTTCGGTCACCGTCAGCGCTCCCTTGAGTTTATCGACGGCCGGGATCAGATCGACAGTCCGTCTAGCTGGTTCGCGGTTCCCCATCCCTGCAATCATCTCCGCGAGCTGAGCGATCATTGCCTGGATCCCCTCGTTGCTCGCTCGGAGCTCTCCCTGACCGCTAGTGATGCGATCGAGCTTCGCATCAGCCTCAGTCTGTCGTCTCGCTAGGGTTTCATACCCAGCCTGAGATCCCGATCGGATTTCCTCCACAACAACCTGCAGCGTCGTCTGGCCCCTCTCCAGATTCCCCGTCGTGCTCTTGATGAGGCCGAGTTCCTCTTCAGTTGCTCGAAGGCGGCGATCGAGGGCCTCATCTCTTGCCCTCATCTCCGCCAGCTCTCGGCCTGCCTGGCCGCTGCCGTCATCATCGCCCACGTCCTGCGAGGCGACAGTGTTCTTCTTGGGAGGCATCGTTGTCCCAGTTCTTTGTCGAAACCGGGCTCTGATACCAATTGACGCGTGACAGCCTCACGCGTCGGGAACTAGAAATACGAAAACTGAAAGAAACTGAAATTACTTGGGTTTATTCATCTTTTTATCATTAAAATGCAAGGTTAAGTACATATTTATAGGAGAGGCTCCATAAACCTAATCCTCCTTAAACATGGTAACCCTAACCTAGTCCTATGCTTACTAGAATTACCGACTGAATAAGAATAATAATTCGAATACTAATCCGAAAATTAACTAATAAACCGAAAGAATATCCAAATAATTATAATAAGAGGTAGACCCGCTCTACCCGCCCCTGCCCGGTCCGCGCGAATGCATCACCTTGTCGAATTTGAAAATCTCAAACCAACTGGAGAACTGACAAGGAGGTCCAATGCGACGGTCGAGAAGTTGATAGGAGACGGGGCCGGACAAAAAATTCAACTTCACTGGATATGGAGCTAAGGCGATGGCGATGGATGTCGAAACTGAAGAATGGCGATGGTCGAGAAATCGGTTCAGCCTCGTCTTATCCTAGAGTAGTAGTTCTATCGAGTGTGCTCTGTACTTCTGTTCAAAAAAGTAGTAAAGTGAAAAGGGCATGGGCGCCAAAAACAAGATTATTTAGGCGCCATTTGAAAATTTCGATGTGTTTGTGAAAATTGGGTGCAAATTTGGGATACGATGAAAAATTGGAGCTTCTAAAGGGTGTGAGTGGTGCGTTTAGACGAGGTGTTCTAACTAAGGATGACAAAAATATTCGTAACCGTGGATATTCACCCGAATCCGACCTAATCGGGTAGAGTAAAACCCGTACCCGAAGCATTTTTCGTGAGTACGGGTAAAACCCGAACCCGAATATTGTGGGTAATGGGTGGGCATGGTTATCTCACTATCCAACCCGAACCCGCCCGATCATACACATTCATATGTATTTTGTCTAGAAATAATCATTATTTTTCCCTAGAATATTTTATATTTAGCATATAAATATAACATTTTCATGAAATTATGTTGTTTTAATTAATTTTCGTCATTCTAGTGAATTACTGTCGTACTTTTCCTCTTACGTAATGTGAGTATACGTGTGAATGTTAACATATTGGTTGGAATTATAAGGAGAAATTATTACCCATGGATAACCGTGGATACCCGAAACCCGAACGGGTATGGGCATGGTTTTGATTTTCTACCCGTTTCTCGTGTGGGTACGGATATGGGTAAAACCCGAACTACATTGGGTAGGGTAACTGATATGCACTATCCGCCCACCCGACCCATTGCCATCCCTAGTTCTAACAACGCTAATGGGTGTTAGTGGTGCTGGTAAGACTACTCTAATGGATGTCTTGGCGGGTAGGAAAATTGCTAGAATTTCTGGTTATTGTGAACAAAATAATATACATTCTCCGGGTAAAATATCTCGGGTACCACTTAAATTTGAGAATTGGGGTAGACATACCACTTAAGTTTGAATAGGGCGTCGAGTATCATTAAAGTCAACAAAATGTGCATCCGTCAACTTTTCCATCCAACCCAAACTTTTAGTTACTTTTTGGTACCCAAAAATTTTAAAAACATTCAAAACTATATTTCAACAAGTTTTATCTAATATTAAAATTAGAAAACCTTCTAAACATATTATTACTAAAATGTCTAATCAAAATTTTTCATAAAATAGATAAATTAGTACAAATATTAAATGAACATAAGAAAATAATAAGTACACTAGAATATAATAATAAATATTTAAATTAATATTAGAATATCTATTTAAACACCCTAATTCAATTGGAAACACCATTAGAAATAGTTAAAATAAAACCTAATCGATCTTCAATACATCAAAACCAAAGAAAGATAAATAGAACACAATCATAAGGAATAAAAATATATTCCAATAATTAAAAAATCATTTAGAACAAAAAGAAACGAAAAGTAACCAAGTAATAAATGAACTATAAAAGCTACAACATTCAGTAAAAAATATAGAAAATAAAATATGATTGTAGGAAGAATATTAGAATTACTAAATTTAACTAATATGAAACATCTACAAATATAATATTAGAGAATTAAAAGGAAATTTAACATGGATTAGACAACATCACTCTGATGTAAGAGAACAAAATATAACATTCTCAGATTATTTATATCGAGATAGAATTTATAAAATATATTTGCTTGAGAAAATTATTCAATTATAAGAACACATAATGATAATTGAAAATACTTATAATAATAATTGATTCTAAATTTTCTATTGAAAAATTGATTTGCTATCAAGTATTCAAAAGAGGATTCCAATTAAACAATAAAAAAAATATGTTTTCCATAAGTCAAAATGATTTTTTTACAATAACAAAAGTAGAAGGACCAATTATGAAATTTAGAAAACGGAATATTCCAAGAATATTCTGTCAACTTTAATGCAATGCACATAACAGTAAACTTAAGTGGTACCGGGTGCACATATAATAGAGTTCAGTGGTACCCGACGCCCTATTCAAACTTAAGTGATATGTCTACCCCAATTATCAAACTTAAGTGGTACCCGAGGTATTTTACCCTACATTCTCCACATGTTACCGTTTCTGAGTCATTGCTCTACTCGGCTTGGTTAAGGTTGCCTGCAGAAGTGAAGGGTGAAACTAGAAAGGTAAGTAATTGCAGGAGTGAGAGCTGGAGCGGAAGTGAGAGAGAGAAAAAGCATATTTTTACTGTTTTAGAGAATTATGTATTTAGAGCGTTGAGAAAACATTAATATAATATTTTAATTCAAATATTATTTAATGTACCAACTTTTTTACAAAATATTACCACAAATTTAAAGAAAAATAAAATGAGAAAATTTGTTGAACTTACACACAAAAAAAAATTTCTTGAACAAAGAAAAGCTCAATGACTCAGGAATTTGTTGTCCAAAATGAAATTGAGACCAAAACTTAAAAGTAAAAGCATATAGTGGCCCAAGATTCACGTACATGGAGTCATGGACCTAAAGGCCCAACCTGGCCGTTGAAGACCAAAATCTAAGCCACTCCCCTTCTTTCTCTAATTAGAAAAAACTTTCAAACAGTTGCGGCCCATCCTCTCAATGGGAGGTAGATAAAAAAATAAAAAAAAGAGCTCAATTGAAAATCATCGGAGAAATTCAGGCGGGCTAACCAAATCAAAACTTCCCATTTCAAATCCGTACTGTCTCCCTCTCCTCTCTCTCTCTGTCATCTCATCATCTGGCATCTGCGTTCTAATTCCCCCCGTTCCCATTCTCTCTCCTACCCAGACAGGAAGGCCGTCCGGCGGCACGGCAGCGGGCGCCAATGGAGTCGCTCCGCTTGATCTGCGACGAAACGATACCCCGTGCGCGGGAGAGAATGGACTCTTTTGAGGAAGAATTCGCCAGTTCCCTGGATTCAATCAAGGCCAAAGCCGAATGCACCGCCCAAACTCAAGGTAAGCAAGCTAAACTGTTGGCATTCTCGCGTTTCTGTTTTGAAGCTACTTTGGGAGATCGGGAGGAGAGAGAGAGAGAGAACATGGTGGACTAGGGTTTAGGGTTCTGGACGGCGCTTCTGGTCTAATTTGCTCGACTTGGTGCAGGGAAATTGTGGAAGCTGAAGTCCACCTTGAGAGATGCCGAAGATGAATTTGTGAAAGTGCTCTCAGGTCCGTCTCATAACCGTATCATTCTGAGTTTAAATTTCTTGGTGTTCCAAAATTACGCCGATCTTGAAGGGAATGTTTGGCCCTGGTACCTCCAAGCCGACCCTAATTTATTCTTTCTCTGCCATCCGTAACTGTTTTCTTATCTGCCTATCAGAATTTCTTGAACTTAACTGTTCTTGAATGGCATATCTTGAGTAGTTTGTTCTAATGGGAAAGGATGGATTTTTACAATAACTAACTGAAGTTCTCTTTTCCGTACAGTGAAAACCCAGAAAGAGGCAAAGCAGATGCGACTAAGAGACTCCATATCTGCTGTAAGGAATCGATCAGAAGAACTTAGAAAGACCCTGCAAATTCAAACATCAAGGAGGGACGAGTATGCTGGAACTATATCTCAATTATATCTTGGTGATTTGCTTTTCTTCTCCCTAACTGGCTGTTTCTATACAGCTTATTCAAATGGTCTTATGACTCTTATCTGTGTATTTACTGTGCATTGTTGTTTGCTGGCAATCACATTTAGGTTGTCGTTATTGTAGGATGACTATGCTAATGCTAGTGAATATAAATGACTAATCATCAACTTGATGGTTTAACATAAAATGATCACCGCTGTGTTAGGTTTTGAGTGTGTCGTATCGAGGTGCTTGATGTGTGAGGGACTTAGTGAATTCTACTGGAGATTGTTCTTTTAGTTGTATGATGGTACATGCGTTTTATTTCCAGCTTCACCAGAATGCATTTGGCCATAACCTAGTAAATATCGCACGTGTGGATAAAAAAGAGCTATAGGCAAACCAAGAATTTATGGTTTTGCTAGATAAAAGCAGCAGGATACCATCGTACAACAAGCAGGATAAAAAGAACTATAGTCAAACCTTAATATTTATGAGCTTTGCATTCTACAAAAGGAAGTGAGTTTCTGGACGAACAGTGTAAAATCACTTCACATTATCTGTTATGTTGTATTGCCTCTCTTTCTTGACTGCTTACTCCATTGAAAGACTGTACCCTGACTGAATTAATTGTGGTGAAGATACTTTGTCTCCAATATCTGTATGTTTCTATTAAAAAGTTCTCTCTTTTGTTTAAATTTTTGAAATACTCTCTTTTTTACTTGCGCGACATATGAAGATAAAGGGAACCGGGACAGCGAATTAAGCGGAAAAACTCAAGAGGCATTGCTATGGTATGATAGGATTCTAGGCTTCCAAATAGAAGGCGGGCACGGTAAATATGGCTGCTGTATGACTCTTGAGTTTTTGTTATTTCTGTGGTATGGTTTGCATGATGAATAATTTTTCATTTGCATAGGGGTCAAATTCACGTTCAGAAACATCAATGTGAAAAATCCATCTGAGGAATACTCCTTCACTGTTCGCCATGAAAATGATACATACAGCTGTAAGTAACAGCTATATTTTGTCAATAACTTGTGTGGATTTCCGATCTTAATCGTTTATACCTTCCTGTTTTACTGCCCAGTGTTGGCTTGCAATCCACAATTGAACGATACCAAAGAGTTGATCCATGAGCTGAATAGAACCAATGGCCTATTCAAGTTTGTCAGAACAATGAGGGAAAAGTTTCAAGAAGCTGCATCATCTGGTATTTTAGTGCTTTCTTTCGTTTCATGTTCTCTTTCTGTGTTGATGATGACATAATATGAAAAGTGAGGACCCTAGTCATAACTTTTATGCTTCTAGTTTTGGCAAATGATACTAAAATTCTTTCCGACAGTAATCGATATATGCTCCTTGTGCATTAGGATTTTTATCGCAATCCTCAACTCCTCAGCAAGAAGAGCTGTCCACGATTTCTGCATCCGCTCCAGCTTTGTCAGTTTACACTGACCAAAGTGATTCTCCGACACAGAGAGAGGAGCGTTCAGATGATGTCAAGAGACACCCAAAGAAAGTCAACCGTGGAAGAGTGGGCAGAAAGGAATTGCTATCACCCGAGTCAATTCGCCGATCACCTCGGTTACGGGTATCTTCAAGAGTAAGATGACTCCTGAAGTTTTGATATGAGCTCTTTGAGAATTATACCAACATAATATGCCAACTAGCAGGAATAGCCTATGTTGTTAATGAACGAAAGAATAGATCATCTTCAATTTAGTCTATGCATACCAGATTGCTATTTGGTTGGGACAGAAGTTGGAAAAGGATGGCCTTGGTTAATTTCATTGTCAATAAGCATGAAGCCATGAACCTCGTACTATTGTGACTCATTCACCTCATAGCGAGTCTCAACACTTTGGGTCTGGTTTATTGCCTGTCTATATTTAGAGCATTCAAATTTCATAGAAATTTAACAGATGATCATTGAACAGGGCAGGAAATGATCATGCCGATACAGTTAATCTGACCTCGGATCCTGACGAAATGGTATGTGCATTATGTGGTTACCAGCTCTTTAACCAAGTTCCTTTTCACTTTGTCGCTGAACAGTTGATTTCTCTTATCCATACGTTTCAGCCTTTGGGTCATTCAGCTAGCTCCTATCTCCGACTCTGTTGATAGCAAACATCAGTCCTGGTGTAGTACTAGTTCAGTTATACATACCTCGGTATCAAAGTAAGCTATCAAGTTGCTGGTTTCAGAGCTCTAAGACTCGGCTTGCCATTCAAACGCTACGCCTCAAAACCCACTCAATGTAATGTATTGGTATTGTTCATTCTGTTGCAGTTCATGCATAAATGTAAGGTATTCGGCAGCTTTGCAAACATCTAGTCTGCAAAATTTGTAGTGTATTCGGTTCTTCACGTTTATATGTTGTAGAGCATTCAAATGTTGGGTTTCGAGGTCATAGACGCAATTGAAATATAATTGAAACCCTCCATGACTCGCATGATTCAATAAGAATTAGAGTTTAAAGTTCTAACCTTTGGATGATGCAAAAGAGAAAGAGTTTGAATCAAGAACCATTTATGGTAATAGCCGCAAACTTCGAAGGATTGATGAACCATTATACAACCACTTCACTTGCATTTTTTGGACATTTTATACAATCACTAATTCCTTGTAATAGCCCCCTTATACATATACATCCCAATCCCTTTTCCCATAATTTACAAGAGATATAATCCCCAGAAGCCCAGAAGCAGAGCAAGCCATGTTATCTTGTGGAGCTGAAGGACGTGGAGGTGGTGGTGGGTTGAAGCAGCCTTTTGTGGAAGAATGCACGGGTATGTTCCCACAGCTGGAGGGGTTACATCAAGAACAAGGTTACAAATCGAATATGCGATAAGTTCCTGAATGATTGTCTAGTAGGGTATATGGAGAATTTTTTTTAACACTATAAACACCAAGTGTATTCTACAATTATTTTCGAATATGAAAACACATCATGGACTTTTTTTAACCTGTACGAGTAATGTATTTTCATATTTACGATTTTATTTTTATTAATTGTTTTTATTTTTATTTAATTTATTTTTTAAAAGAGGACACCCCTATGAAAAATTTCTGTGTTTGTCACTACGTGGAGGTGGTGGTGGGTTGAAGCAGAAGCCTTCTGTGGAAGAATGCACGGGTGTGTTCCCAGAGCTGGAGGGCTTCACCTTCATCATTCCCCAAATCTGAGCAGTTGCTCTCATTGCAGTCTGCAAAGTACTTCCCTCCCACCCCTTCCACTTGAGGGCTCAGAGCCACATAGCATGTGGTCGATGCACCCTGCACAATCAAATCGAAGGGCACAGTCGCACCCAGAGGGCAAAAAAAAAAGGAGTAAAGCTCGGTTCTCTCAAATCATTTCTTTTGATTTGGGCGTGTACCTGTGATACAGATTTCAGCAGCTTGGAGGCTATGAAGTATACTGAATCTGCATTTTCAGAGGATTTCAGTAAGATGTTTTTTCATGGGTAGGACCAGAAAATGTGTAGGAAGGAACAATGTGCTATTATGATGACGGTTGTTGTGTGAGGAACAATCTAACGATGTTAGCACGTAATTAGGGTAATATGCCTGCTATAACGAGGAAGGGAGGAGAGGTGACCTGTGATGAGACCCTTGTGGGCTCTAATGATGCCAGTCTTGATAATGCCTGGATGTACTGCATTAACCGTCACTTTTGCATTCCTTGCCTGGAAATGTTGTAAAGTATAATGAGAAGAAAAAGAAGGCAAAGTAACATTTGTTGTTTGTGGTCTCAGAAGAATCTGAATGGAAGGAGAAGAGAGAAGAAAGGTGGTGATGGTGGGGGAAAAGGAGGGAACCTTGAGCTGTCTGGAGAGCTCCTTGGCATGGAAAATGGCAGCCAGCTTGGTCTGAGCATACGCACGTGTCCCATTATAGCTGCTGCACCATAAACAATTAGTAACATAAGCTAAAGATGTCCATTTTTTTTCTATCCATAGCCATACATTAGCGGTTTGGTTGGTGGTGCTGTGTAAAAAGTTTGTGAATTACTTACTTGGTTGGGTTGAGCATGTTTTGGAAGGAGAAGGAGGAGGAGTCTGTTTTCACCCAGCTGTGGATGGCAGAGGAAAGATTGATGATTCTGCCGTGCATCCCACTCTCTCGTGCGGTTTCCTCCATCTTCTCCACCAGCAACTCTGTCACCAAAAAATGCCCTGTAGATAGTTGCACAACCGGGAAAAACAGGAGCAAGGTTATATGGGCTTGAGATGGGTGGCCCATTGGGAATTGGAAATTGGTCTCGAGAGTCCACGGGCCTAAATATCCATCTCTTGCCTGCCTTTTATCCAATTAGCCCATATCGAATGGCTTCTCGGACGGTGACCGTGACGTCGTCGATGTCGAAGGAAAAATGGATAAGAAGTCGTCGATGTCGACTGTAATTTTTAGTTTTTTTTTTTTTACCAAAGCAGTAATCATGAAGAAGGGAAATTTAACCCCCTTGATTTTTGGTGGGTTGGTTAGTGGTGACGGATGTAGCTTAGCTTTACGACAGAACACCCGACAAAAGGAAGGAAACAGAGACAATGACACACACGTACGGATATTGCCAATGAGAGAAAACAGAGTCTCACTCTGCTCTGTCTCCTCAAACTTCTCTCTCCTCCATGAAAACTAACATGAATCGGTTGCTCTCAATAATTCGAGTTGTTGGAAGAGATTCAATCGTGGATTTTATACCACTCTCTGACACGCCCCCTTAAACGAAAGTCAACCCATGGGCTTGAAGTTTGCACAGACCCACCATACCATGTGCTTGAAAGACAACAGTTAACATTGGGGGTCGTGGAGATGGTTGTCATGCCGGTGGCATGCCACCCGGTTGAACCTGGTTCAACCTGTACCGGTAATGAAACCGGCATGACACCACCGGTATAACCAGTATGATCGACTTACGCAATCTAAGTAAAATGACTTCATTTTAATGAACTTAATGAATAAAAAAATTAATTTATTATTCATTTTATGAATGTAATAGCTAAAAGTTGATGATATTTGTTGGATTGTAACTAAATTGTCCACAAATATGTTTTATATATGATTAAATACATTAGATATTAATTATTTTCATATTTTTTTTAACCGGCATGAACCGACACAAACTGGTTATACCACCGGTCGTACCATTCCACTTGTCAAACCGGCACAACGGTATAAACCGGTTTGACAACCTCAGAGATTCGAACACATGACCTTTTGGTTCGAGGCTCTGATACCATGTCAAGAACCAGTTGCTCCCAATAACTCGAATTGTTGAGAGAGATTCAATCGTGGATCTTATATCACTCTCTGACAAAAACAACTTACCCAAGTAATTGGTAGCGAATGTCATCTCGATCTTGTCCTCAGATAACTCCAAGCCCCGTGAGTAAATCCCAGCATTGTTTCTACCAAGAAAACAGAATGGAAGATTTAATAAGTAAAAGAACACAACAGAGTGGTGCTGCTGCATCGTAAAAAAGAATAGCTCGGTGGGTTAAAACTTACATGAGGATGTGGAGTGGGAGGCCAAGGGAGAGGAATTGGCGGGAGAAAGAGGCGATGGAGGCGAAAGAGCTCAAGTCAAGCTCCAGAACCAGGATCTGTGCATCAGGAGACTGGTGGAGGATGCTCTGTTTCAGGTGGGAAGCTTTGTTCACGTCTCTGGCTGCAATCACAACTCTCACCCCTCTCTTCGCCAGCACCGTTGCTGTCTCCTCTCCTATCCCTGATGTCGCCCCTGCATATAATAATAATAATAATAATAATAACAGCAATTACTTCTATTTTAGTCAAAAAAGAAGGCAGGAAATTTGGCAGCCAAAAAAAATTAAAGGGTAGAAAAGTTAGGACAGAGTACATACAAATTAAGTATGTATCGGAGCATAGAATCAAGAGATGAGACAAAAACCATATCCCGATAACAACCAACCAAAAAGGAGATTAGCCAGCCACTGAATTATTTGAATAATATATACAAACCACCTGATACATGCATATCTACGTCGGCGGCACAAGAAGGAGAAGAAGAAGGAGAAGGAGGAGGAGAAGTTGGAGCACCGGGAAGATTATAAGAAAACCAGTTTCTTTGTTTGATTTCAACCTCAAGGCATACATAACAAGAGCTGAATGCTTGAGCAAGCTATTGAGGATGATCTTACGAGATATAATTGAGTTAATTACCGGTGATGATGGCAGTTAAAGGGGTTGGTGAAGGAGGAAGACAATGTTGAGTGACTTGTTGGGCTGTGGATTTGGAGCCAAACCCACTTGGCCCTGCAATCCCTGCCAAGTACCTCACTGTTCCCTTCATTTCCCAGATAGAAAAAAAAACTCTTCTCTTGTCTTGTTTAATGGGAGGAGGAAGAACAAGGAGAAACAAGAGAAGAAGAATAAAGAGTGGAAAAGAGGAGACAATTGGGAGAGGAGAGAAGCTGCTGCTGCTGGCTGCTGCTTATTGTTTGTGTTGGCTATATCTTGGACACACTGACCTCACCACCACAATATATATATTTATTACTATTTTTTTTTATGTTACGTGCGTGTTTGGGCGTGTGGGTGTGAATTCAATTTATTTATAATTTTATATAGAGAGTATGTTGACACGTAGGGATATGGCAATTTCGACCCCAACTCTTTTATCCGATCTGTTTGGCCTGTTTTGGGGCGGGCATGGGTACTCTTATTGGTCCGATCGGCCCTGACCCGTCTCATTCTTGATTCGTTCTTGCCTAAATTACATGTAATTTTAGTCAAATTACTTAAGAATTTCCTTCTATTACATCATTTTTGAGGTATAATAAAGCTGTAAATTAGTGAAAACCTCAATTTCTCGAATAATTTAACTACATTTATCATAATATTGTTTGTTTTCTTGTTCTTATAATAAAAAATAACGAATATTTCTAATGTTTTTCATATAAATTGTATACCCATTGGGTCGACCTGCCCCGACCCGCGACCCATGATAAATTACCCGACCTGTACTTGACCTGCCACGGGACGGATCTGGGTACCAAAAAACCCGCCCGACCTACCTATTGCCATTCCTATTGACATGGGAAATTACTAATTACCATGTAAGACTAGAGAGAGTACACAGCAGACAGAAGAGAAGGATCGTATTTGTGATGGAGTGAGGTCAGAGGACTAGCTTTTAAACATGTGGATCTGTCTGTCTCGCCACCAATTTTACAATTACAAAATACGTACAAACACCACTTCGCATTTTTCAACAAAATACAAGCCTTTGTTCTCTCTGCTTATCTTGTTTATAGGTTTTCAGAAAAAAATAGGCTAACAACGGCCGCCTTGGTGTAGATTTTTCAATTTGGAGATTCTAGGTATGGATTTTAGCGTCAAAGTTTCCTTCTCAGCATATCTTGGTTCAATAGCATATATATGTGGAAATTTCTTTTTCGGGAAAATAGGGAGAGGAAAAAAAAAAAAAACCCTACACGTAAATGTCCCAAACTGTATGGGACCTCCTACGGTAACTTGATGCTTTTTGTCTGACTTAGATTACTTGAATTTTTTCGAATAAATCTAAGCCATTCAAATGGATGCAATACAAACACTACGTTGATCATTAAGTAATTTCAATTGCGTTATGGTTTCATAATGATTTGACACTTACACGTAATATGGTGCTATTATTCGTTATGTAGAAATGATCACAAGTTACTTAAGACTTGTGAAATGTCATTTTAGACTCTGTTATGTAAGATTAAAGAACAATAGTTACTTGCCAAGTAGCAGTTAAATTAGACGTCTAGCGTATGACTTCCGTAATGATTTGAAAATTTATGTTATGCAATATTAATCTTCATTATGTAAAAAGACCGTTCAAACATCATTTTCACAACTTAGATAAAAAAACCCACATAAATTGTATATATAAAGGTTACGAAACGATGACATATATTTCTTACGTAAGAGTTTAACAAATATATTAAGAAAGGCTTCTATAATTATATTTTTAGTTTACTTAACACAATATTAATATAATTAGATCATATAAACATATGTTACATAAACATTATATAACGATTATTGTAATTTATGTAATCCAATATCGAGTTATCTTACTTCAAAGTATTATTGAAATTATCAACATTAATCCAGAAGACAATATTCTAAACGGTTCGAGAAAATGAAAATTATCCGAAGACAAATGATAGGTACACTTAACAAACAATTTAATTTGCTAATTCAACAAGTCAGTTAAAATTTAAAAACAATATGAAAAGAACCGCAAGAAAGAATTTCAAGCCACTTACTGATGTACAATCAAGCGAGGGGGCAAAATTGGCTTTTAAACAGTGAATAAACTGTATTGGTTGGTCGGATTTGACGTGTTCCCCATAATTCCGCCATCAAGAAAGTTAACTTTGTTTATTGTTAGGAAGAAAAAATTTACCCACTCAGCTGTAGCAACATTTTATAGTGAATTTGAAAAAGTGGATTTAAAAGGAAATAGGAGAGGCATAGGTTCTTCAAAGCCATCAAGAGCTCTCTCTAACCGAGTGATCATAGTTCACTAGCAACAAGTGTTGGGTTAGGGTTCTAATATCTTTAGTATGAGAATACTAACTCCATATAATGGGAAATTTTGTCTCTTGTTATATTGAAGACATTGACCATAATTTAATGTTGAATTTTAAAAGGAGGGACATGCTTATCATTTTTCTTTAAATTATCAAAGAAACAAGCATGTGTGCAACAAGGATCATATAACATACTAGAAACACGATAAACAACACCACGAAATAACATAAAGCATATAAGAAAACTCATAAAACAGATGAGAAGCTCACAACACCACCAAACTCAAAAAGCATATTAGAAAACTCAAAGCTGACTACAAGTTTCATGCAACATACGAGAGCGCATACAACTAAGCACAAATATCATGAAGTAGACAAGAAAACTGAGACGAGACAATAAAAAAGAAACACGCCACACTAGAAAAACCTCATAAAGCCAATCATAAAATATAGAGAGCACACCATAAAGCCGACCACAAGTTTCATGAAATAGACAAAAAAGTCATAAAGTTGACTCTAACACTACAAAAATGACAGACAGTCTTGACAGAAACTTATTGACGACACAAAATTAGCCTTTCTATTAGTCTTAATTTGGTTTATCAACGAGGTCTTGGTATTGATAATAATATTTTTCCGACTGTATGTCAGAAGTAGAGTATTACCGATGAGACATTTTCTCACAACTTCTGACACAACACAGTTTTTTCGACAAAAAAAGTGTCGTCAGTAATGACCGTCTTTTTTGTAGTACAAATATAATGAAGCAGATTAGAAATTCCAGTGCAGATTAGAAATTCCAGAGCAAACAAGAAACATGACAAAACACACAACTCTTATTAAGCATATTAGAACCATGAGAAGCCACTCTAGAACTACATAACGCTATAAAATACACTAGTTTTCCATTTTTGCGCAAAAATTGGAAATATTATGTTTGAGTATAACTGAGAGTAGGAGGGAGACTCGGATGAAAGGTGGGTGAGTAGAGTAAGCAACAGGGAAGTTAGGGCAGAGGAGATTCTTAGAGTAAGTAGCAAGGGAGTTTGGGCAGAGGAAATTCTTAGAGAGATAAAGTTCTTAGTAGGTAGAGTGAGAGAGTGAAAAATGCGATCCCCTCACCCACCGGAGTAAATGCCATATTTATAGGCTACATGGTGGTGGGTGAGTTATTTAATGTGACATGACTACTGACATGTCAGGAGTTTAGGCCACACCTCTACCTAGGACAATGATGTGACTACACTTCCGAAAACGCGGCGTCGTTTTCATGGTTTCTTGGTCTGGTCAAGGCTTAAGTGAAACGTCGTCGTTCGGAGTCTGGGGTCTTCGTCCGTGAGTGCGGCCTTCGAAGCGGGCGTGATCCTCGCGCGGGTGCGGGCGCGGCCTTGGTTGTGGTGGTATTGACGCGCCTGACCCTTCTGAGGCGGTGCCGGGATGCTTCCCTGGTGCGACTAGACCCGAGCCATATACCCAACATATTATTTTTGACATCTTTTGTGATTGTATAGAATTTGAGTTGCCAATTGTTAGCTAGGTCAACCTTTGTTTTCTCTTTTTTTTTTCTCTTGGTGGATCAGTTCGTGCTCACAAAAACTATCAACGCTCACCGCCGATGCTTGAGAATTCGATGACTCAAGTACACCTCAGAGTCCAACTCTAATCTCACCACCACTATTGTCGCACTGCCCCTGTGTAAGAGAAAGAATTTCCTCAAGCAGTCGTTCGTAGTGATGACAATTTCAACCCGTCCAGCGGGTATTACCCGACCTAACCCGCGATGGGGTGGGTATTACCCGACCCACAGTAGCGTGGGGTGGGGCATGGGTATCTACTTCCGACCCGCCCCGCCCCGTTGTACACTCCTTTTATCTCAATTTCTTACAATATCTATACATATTTCTCCTATTTTGACTTTTCTTCAACTAGTTAGAGTCGATCTTTCAACTTGTTAGGCTCAATTATCCATTCTATTATCAATATTTTTCATTCTTAAAGTGTTTTCCCCTACGTTTTATTGTAAAAAGTAAAATTTACTTGTATTTTTTTTGAACAACATGTAAGAGTAGGTTGACCCGCCCCGCCCCGTACCCGGGCGGGTTTTACCCGCCCTGACCCGTAGTAGCGTGGGGCGGGGCATGGGAATTGAGGTACCCGCCCCGCTCCATTGCCATCACTAGTCGTTCGTGAGATATATGTGTTGTTAACTACTACGTCATCACAGGACGGTGGGAATAACAATATAAAAAACACGAAACAGAAAATTATAGCCACAAGGTTAGGGATGGCAATGTGGCGGGTTTGGGACGGGTTTGCTTAAACCATCCTCATACCCATCTTCAAATACCCAAACTCATACCTGCCCCATACCCATGCGGGGAATGTTTTGCAAACCCATCCTCATACCCGTGGGTTTCGGGTACCCATGGGTAATACCCATATCCGTACATCCAACATTATTATACCTAAAACTTACAAGAAAAGTTCTAATTATAATTCTAAACGAACATATTATATCATGAAGTCAATAAAACACGGTCATTTTTTTAATATGGTTCAAAGATTATGATCCTAAAATATCCATTAATACATAATATAGAGTATAATATTTTTCAAATTATTATGCTCTAACTCTGATACATCTACTAAATAATAATTAACTAACATGATCTTGTTGACAAGGGGGAACGTGAAAGAGTGAAATGAGAATTGAGAGAAATGAATTAGATTTTGATTAAGGTGGTCAATCAATTGCATTTCTACTATTTATTTTCTCAAGTTATCCTCATCATCATTGATAGATTATAATTTGATGCACATTTTTTGTTTATATATATGAAGAAATTATCTTGGTGGGGTGTATGGGGACGGGTATGGGGCGGGGGAGGCTAAAACCATACTCGCCCCATACCCATCAAACTTTTTGCGGGTTTTATCATACCCGCCCCATACCCGATCGAAACGGGGATTCCCCACGTTGATTGGGTCGGATACCTGCGGCCATGGGTTTGATTGCCATCCCTACACAAGGTTCTGTTTTCGATAAGGCTAAAAGAAAATTTTAGTATTTAGCCACCTAATTTCCCCCTCCAGTTGTGTTAGCCTTACAGATTAAGCTACTACAACTGTACACCCTTATAGAAGGAACATATGTGAAATTGACGAATCACTAGATCTCATAGACTTATATTTTCATACCAATGGTGAACATTAGACCAATAGATAATGTATATCTTCGTCTAATTCTCCCATATTTCTGTTCCTAAACACATCCTGCCACGATAATCTCGGGTGGACATGTACAACCTTTAAAATCTATGAGTTGGCTTTATTTTTAAGGAGGTGTTGTAGGAGAGTGTTATAAGATCCATAATTAACCTTCTCCTATCTACTCGAGTTATTGAGACTAACTGATTTTACTACAGAAATGACGAGAATGGAAGAGTAAAGTAAGATATGGTAAGGCGTGATTGAGATAGGTGTGGATAAATAGTTTGGATTTTGATTAAATATGATCTTGTTGGATTTTTGTTGTTGTTGACTTTACTCATTTATCTTTCATGAAATACCGTTAATATATAGAAAAATGACACATTGATGTTATCATCCTATCTCCTTTTGATTTTGTTAACTGCTGTCCATGGTCTCACTCTCACCTCTCACACTCATTCAATACATAAATTATCATTGAAACACGAGTTGAGCAGCTGAAGTCACACAGCTGTATATGAACCAAAAGCGTTCAAAATTTTAGCTGCATTTGTTTTGAACTATATGCAGAGCTGCAGATGAAATAACATCAAAAGGAGAAATAAGAAATCATGCTGATGAGGGGCAAAGCCAAACAAAAAAGACAGAACACATAAAATGTTCTTCTTTTTTTTTTTTTTTTTATGAATATGTTCATCCTTTTCGGAAATGAAAGAACAGGAAAAATAAGAAATCATCATATGGCCAACAACATTATAGCATTGTGCATGTATGAAGCAAGAATTCACACGTGTGCTGCGACTTGAATAATGGAACATGTAATGACTTCCTTCATGTACGTGGTCCCGGCTAACTCATCTATTCACTCACCTAAAACTAGTAAGAGAATGGTAGAAGATTTTCAACAACTCGAGTTATTAAAGTTAATTATATAGTATCAGAGTTAATCTAACTATGAAGTCTCATTCTCTTTTTTTTTTTATATAATGGTGATTGTCGCTATTTTTTTTTCGATCTTCGAACCTATGATGTCCCTTATTTCTTTGTTGCTGCTTTTGTTTGCTTTCTCTTTCCATCTGAGTTTGCCTTGTAAGTCTTCTGTAGGGTAGGGTGTAACTTGTAAGAGAGTGGTAGAAGATACATAACTAACAATTTTTCCAGCAACTAGAGTTATTAGGTTTAGTTAAATCTTTATGTGGTATCAAAGCTTGTTTGATAATATGACGTCTCATGTTCAAATCTCCATGACCCCAATATTTACAATTGATTTAACCACAAGTTATGGTGAGTTTGTGCGAATTTCAAACACGTTATTTGGTTTTCTTTTTTAGGAAATGTGTAAAAGAGTGATAGAAGATCCATAATTAAAATTCTCTCAAAACTCGTGTTATTGAAACTTATCGATTCTTCATAAAACTCAGCTAAATCAAGATAGCTACCAAATATGCTATCAAAAGTGTGAAAAAGTAGCTAGCTAACCCCTATGGTTGGGAGATCATAGTTCTAAAGTAAAAGTTATATTTCATTTTAGTATTGCTAGTTTTTTGGCCCGCGCTCCGCCATGGTAACAAAATAATGATTTAGTTTAAATCAAATAATTCACAAAATTATTAAGATAAGATACATATATAATAACTATATCTACATAAGATTTACCCAGTAATAAGTGATACACAGTAATAACTATATCTACATAAGATTTACCCAGTGTTTAATCATTAAGGAAAACTCATGTAACAGTTATAGATAGTTATTACATAAATTTTTAAAAATGTGTGGTCTAATAATAAAATCAAGTTATAGTAAGTAAAATTGATGAATTTTTAATTTGTGCAACTGTTGTAAAATATTGTTACATAAATATTTCATAATGTGAGGTCTAATAATAAAATAAAAGTTTAGAAAGTAACACGAAAGTAATAATATATGATTAAATTGTTATGTCGAAGTTAACTAATCAAGAGATTATGATAAAATTGAATGTAGGAGATAAAGAACTATTATAAAACATTATTACATAATTTTTTATAATGTGTGATCTAATAATAAAATCAAATTTTAGAAAGTAAAGTATGATTAGACCTGTTAAATATTTTAGTAAACAATAATAAATATTTTATTTAACAATAGTGAAAAGTGTTTATAATTTTAATTATATAATAATAATATGGCAATGTCAAAATGAAAATCCAACCACTCTTTCGGGTGAAAAATCATCAATATTGTAATTATGATGATTTAGGTACAACATCTATAGGTCAATGAAGATTTGATAAGCTTCATTCTCTCATCGTACATAATATCAAATCATATTACATGAAAAATCATTATGAACTAATGAATTAGCTACCTAATTCCAATGGTTGGGGGATCATAGTTCAAATGTGAATGTAATATTTCAATTTAGTATATGTCAATATATATATTGAAATGAAAATCCAAGCACTATCGTGTGGAACATCATTATTTGGATTATCGTGATTTGGATTAAAAAAATCTTTCGATCAACGGAAATTCGGTAACTTCACTGTAGTTGTACATAATATCAAATTCTATTAACCAAAGATTCAATAACAATGAAATAGTTGTGCACACCAACCTTCGCGATTACGTCGTTTGAATCGTGTATTCAAAAATTATTCATAACAATTTTAAATACGAAGTAATAAACATATCTACAAAATTATCACTTTCATGCATCCGGCCAACCGGCTATGGATGAAGCGTTTATTATGCTAATTAAGGCCTGCAGGAAGTCAACTAACGAAAGGAAATTCCAAGACGAAAAAACTTTGGGTACTCTTAGCCAATGGTTTCGTTACGATGTAATGTATATATTCCAAGAACGTTCTATTATTAATACGAGTTAAGTGATAATACGCCAATCTTTCTACCAAAAAAAGTAAAATCAATCCTCTGCCAATTTACCGACTATTGTCATTCACGTCTCTGCCCTCTTTTTGGTGCTCTTTTTCCTTTTGTCTGCCTGTCTGCCTGTCGTCTCTCTCCCGTAGCTACTAGCTAGCTTGCAAACACTATAGACGGGGAGAAATTGATGGCCATTGTTGGAGAAGATGGATAGGACTACAAAAAGGGTGGAGCAATGAGGTTGACTACTTATTCCTCAACTGTGGCTAAGGTTACGTAGTAACGGGTCACCTTTCGTTAGAGCAGCGTGTGTTAATAAGTGGTATATGATTTACAATTTAACATCTACCAAAAACTCGAGTTATTGCATCCAATTGGTTCTTAACATGGTATCAAAGTTGGTTTATCCTTAAAATTCCGTGTTCAATTCCTCACGATCACCAACATTCATCGTTGTCTTTAAAGCACATGATATGTTGGGTTTGTGCAAACTTCAAATCAATAATTTAAACTATCTTCGATCGCGCGGCACTTGTCTGACGAGAAGCTTCAAATTTGTTTTTACACACTCGCCAAGTTTGAAACTTGAAAGTTCATATAATTTGTTAATAGTTGACTTTTTGTGATTAAGTTGGACGTCCAATCTTCACTTTTAACGTACTACGTCTAACCTAATCCAGCACTAATAACTAGCTTAGCATCTTTCTTTTTGTCAATTCTCCATTTCTCTCCATCACTCATGGCATGTTCACGAAAAGAGGAAAGTGGTAGATGGATAGTGGTATCCAAAGAAAAAAAAGAAAAAACGAAAAGTGAAAGGGAGAGGGCTCGTTTTGTTTTGTGTCTCCATTCCATGGAGTAAAGGGTTCACCGCCTGCGACAAAACAAATTGCATGCTTAGCTTGTTGGAAAAATTTTCCGGCATGATACCGACCCTAGCTCGCTGTGGCCGGTGGTAGCTTCCAGTCCAAATCACAGGAGCGTTCACTCTGTTAGCTCGGGATGGCAATTGGGTCGGGTTAGGCCCGATAATATTTGTACGTACAAGTATGGCTAAAGTAACTAAATTGATTCAGTCTTATATGTTAGGGAGGGGCTAGTATGCTGACATTTTTTTATAGCATGGTGTTAACATTAGGTTCAACCAATAAAAATATTTCGTTTAGATGACTTTTTTCATTTAAATTAGTTGACTAGGATTAATGAAGGGAAAGGGAAAGAGGGGCACGCTGGTCATTAATGAAAATTGGGAGAAGGGGGAGTCACGTATCTTTTGTGCAATTAAATAGGGAAGTGAAAAGTAGCCCACTAGTTTATAAAAGTCAACCACAAGTTCCATAAAACAAAGCACACATGTCACAAAGCAGACCATAAATCTCATAAAGCAGATCACAATTCCCAATAAGTAAACCACAAGTTCTCTAAAGATTACCACAATTTAATAGAAACAAACCACAAGTTTACAAAATCACACCACAAAGCTTTTAAAGTAAATCACAAAAGGTTAATTATTCGATGAGGAAATAAAGAAAAATTACTTTGTAAACGGTATAATTTGATTGAATAATTGAACTTAATCAGGTGAAAGAATCTGGCAGTTATTCAAAGGTTCATCGGGTTGAAAATATGATTTAAGAAAAATCACAAGAGGTTAAATGCAAATAGATAATGAGATAAATCAAGATAAGATTAGTCGAGAACAAGATGGGAAGGGGTATGACGAAAGTAGTACACATGTCTGCCCATGCTATTACAAGTTAGGTAATCTCGTCTCTGCCCAAATAGATGGAAGCAAGTTAGGTAGTATGAATCTTGTAAAAAAAAAAGTTAGGTAGTATGAAGAGTTGAAGTTGAAGTTGAAGTTCTTAGGGAGTAATTAATCAGTCACAACTATGGCTAGGGCTGAAAATTGGCCCGACCCGCCCCTGACCCTGTCTGACCCGCCCCTGAAGGGTCAAGATGTATAACTGACCAGCCCCGACCCTGTTTCTTTCATGACCCTATCTGACCTTTTAGGGTCGGGGCGGGTCAGGAAAGGTCGGGTCAGTGGGTCGACCCTAATAAATAGACTACTTTTCTAAAAATTACAATTTGGTACTCGAATTTATTTTTTCTTACATTTTAGTACCTAAATTTTATTTTTTTACAAATAAGTCCCTAAAATTTGATGGTAAAATTACGTTTTGGTACCCAAAATTTTTAATTTTTACAATTTAGTACCTAAACTTATAAAATTTTGCAAATAGGTCCAACATGTTTGTATGATGCTAAGGGTCATAGGGTCAAAAAGTGACCCGACCCTAAATTGACCCGACCCTATCTGACCCTGACCTGACCCTAAGCAGACCCGATCCTAAATTGACCCTATAGACAAACTAACCCAACCCGACCCTGAGGGTCGGGGCGGGTCAGTGGGTTTTAAGGGTCAAACTTACACCCCTATGCCCACAGTTTGAGATCATGAACCGCACAATATAAGTCCATAACGAGTTTGGCTCCAAAAAGTAAAGTTTGGGGCTATTTGTGTCTCCTCAACTGGACCGATAGTTAAGCCCATATAATGGATTGGGCTCTTTTACATTTTCCTTTTCCCATTCTTTTCAGTGGTAGAATCGGTTCTGCTTCCCGGCTCCTGCAATTTTTTTTCTGAATTCTTATTTGTAGCCCTAAGTTTTTGAATTTCTAGCCCTAAACTTACATACATGGACGATTTTACCCCTCATTTAACCTAAACCCTAATTTCACCCACCCAACCCTTCCCTTCCCTTCCCTTACCCTGTTCTCCCTCAAATCAACAAAACACAGCCGCAGCCGTTCCCTAAACTTACCCTACCCGCCGCCGCCCTCGCCATCATCTACCACCAAGACCCGCCGCCTTCGCCATCTACCACCACGCCGTCAACCAGAGCCGCCGCCGAGGAGAAGCCTCCTGTTCAGACCCGCCGTAGACCAGCCGCAACCCGCTGCTTCTGCTCAGACCCGCCGCCCTCGCCATCTACCACCAAGACCCGCTGTCGCCGAGGAGAAGCCTCCTGCTCAGACCCGCCATAGACCCGAAGCACTGCCGCAACCCGCTGCTTCTGCTCAGACCCGCCGGAGGTAAATCTCTCTCTCCCTCCCTTCTCTTTTGGTTGAGTCGCGTTCGATTTGGCCGGGGACGCAGCCAGGGCGTTCGATTTGGCTGGGGTAGACGCAGGCAGGGCACCCGCGCGGATCCGGCGGAGGCAGGTAGCCCACCTGCCCCGACCCTGGTCCGACCCGGTCTCCGATCCGCCCTGACCCTGGTCCGACCTGTTTTCCGACCCGCCCTGACCCTGGTCCGACCCATTTTCCGACCCGCCCTGACCCTGGTCAGACTTGTTTTCCGACCCGCCCTGACCCTGGTCCGACCCATTTTCTGACCCGCCCGACCCGTTATTATTTTTTTTTCAATTAAAATGAAAATGTTAATGATTGGAACCCAGTCTTTTGAGGATTCGGCAGGCGAGACAGATATTGAATTAAGAAAGAACTAAGCCTCATCTGATTCAGATAAGGAAAGAACGGACTGACGTCATAGAATGGAAACCGTAAGTCAGGCTCCCTGCGCCTCTGACGGCATGAGCGATAGCTCATGACTGCTATATGGATCTCTCTATGTAGCAATCCGGACCGTATTGAAAAGGTTCCTGTGGAGGCCTAAGCTCTAATGCCGCAACCCAAAAGGCCCTCACTGGTTGACGCGGAAGGCCAGCGTTTCTGGGAATAGCTGGTGGAAGGGTTTGTTGGGGCATGAGAATTCAAAGTCTTTGGGTTCCGGGGGGAGTATGGTCGCAAGGCTGAAACTCCAAAAAACTAGCTATACTTCCTCAATCCAGGAAAACCAGAGCAAAAGTATCATTTCCCTTCCTCTTCCAAATGCTGCAAAGGCCTCTCTCTTGGGTTTAACTACCGGTTGGGTTAAGTCAATGGACTCAACCACCAATCCATTTGAGTTGTCTCACCTATTTCCTGGAAGACTAAAAAGCAAACTCTTGATAATTAGTAATAGTAGAAGCTCAGGGGGGACAAAGGTCTCGGTGAATTGGATCGTGAGTGCCCCGAATTTTGGCGAAAGCACAAGGATAGACTTATTCGGGATTCCTTTCTCTGGAAGTATCCCGAATAGCCATCCAGTAGAGAGCGGGAGGAAGAAACCTAAGAGAAAACACTCTTCTCTTCGACAGGATAGCAGGTTCAGATCCAAAAAAGCTTTGGTATTCTCCGCCCGCGGGAGTAGATTGACCCAGCTATTGAATTATCCTTTAATAACATTTAATTAATATTGTATTGTTGTATTAGTGTATTGGTATTGAATAATTCTATTGAATAATAGAAAAATTATCTTTCCCTTTTTTTCTGACATAAAAAAGGAAAGATAAAAAATATTCAAAATTTCTTTTTGCTTTGACCTGTGAAAAGACATACTCTGGTTTTTCTATTCGTCTAAAGCAAAAAGAAATAGAGCAAAGATGATAATAACACGAAACAATAAAAGAATAAGGTATAAAAAAAATAAGAATGAGTTCAGGAATTTACCTAAGTAGAGTTACAAAACGATAAAAAATTTTTATCTTCGAAACCCATTCGAAATTAGAAGGGGCGGAAATCAAATTCTACATAAATGATAGAAGCTTCAAAAATCCTTCTAATGCTATGAGGTGCTCGGAAATGGTTGAAGTAGTTCAATAGGAGGATCACTATGACTACAATATAGAAAATATATAGAAAATAAGAAAAAAATAGATAATTAGTCTATCTATAAGAATAAGAGAAGAGGAGATCATATGAAAAATGGAACCGAATCTTTCGTTTCCTTAGGTCACTGGCCATTAGCCGGGAGTTTCGGGTTTAATACCGATATTTTAGCAACAAATCTAATAAATCTAAGTGTAGTCCTTGGTGTATTGATTTTTTTTGGAAAGGGAGTGTGTGCGAGTTGTTTTTTTCAAGAATAGGCTGGATTGAACCAGTTGTACTTTTTTTGTTTTAATTAGATTAATTAAAAAAGAGTGCATGATCCTGCGAATTACTTCTAAACAATTTAAGAACCATAGCATTTCGCGATTCATTGGTAAATAGACTTTGACTCTCTATCAACCACTAACGTGGCACCATTTCATTAACATGGTTAAAACTAAACCGTTTGAAATCCAGACGCAGCAAGAACAAGGTGCTTTTCCTTGTGTGGATCCTATTTCAATCGGAACTTGATGAGTCGATCCGCCTACACGTCTTGCTTTTACTGCTATATCGGGAGTTACTCCACGTATTGCTTGACGTAAAACAGATCGTGGATTTGTTTCTGTCTTTTGTTGAATCTTTTTCACGGCCCGATAGATAATTTGATAAGCCAATGATTTTTTTCCGTGTTTCAGAACACGGTTAACCAGCATGTTAACTAATCGATTACGATAAATTGGATCGGATTTTGCAGTTTTTTCTTCTGCAGTACCTCGACGTGACAGGAGCGTGCAAGGGGTTCTCAAGAATCCGTTTTCTTTTTCTAGGGGCTAATAAAATCATTTATTTTGGCTTTTTGACCCCATATTGTAGGGTGGATCTCGAAAGATATGAAAGACCTCCCTCCAAGCCGTACATACGACTTTCGTCGAATACGGCTTTCCACAGAATTCTATATGTATCTATGAGATCGAGTATGGAATTCTGTTTACTCACTTTAAATTGAGTATCCGTTTCCCTCCTTTTCCTGCTAGGATTGGAAAATCCACAAAAAAGCTCATTCCTAAAAAAATAAGAATCCAATTTCTATTTATTGTTTCTGATTATCGGGTCTTTATCTCATCGAACAGATCCAATTCCGAATCCATTTATTTGATTAGTATGTAATACTATTCGAATATAGAATATCATAATAGTAATATCAGAAGACTAAAGACTAATAGAAATAGAATCACTTTTTGTTTGTTTTGCGATTCTACCCAAAACCCCATAAGTCTAAGTTAAGTTGTATCGGTTGCAAATTCCAATTTGAGTAGAAAATTCTCTTTATTCCTCTGCTCATACATTCCATATCCATATATGGAGTTCGATAAAATTTTATGTTATTCTGTAAACAGAATAGAAATCCCATCATTGCTAGCTCAATCTATAGAATTGGATGAAAAACGATCCAATTATGGGATTTTTTCAATAACTGGGAAATCAAAAATGCTTAGGGATGCAAATGGGGGACTGTCTACAATACCTGGATTTAATCAGATACAATTTGAAGGATTTTGTAGGTTTATTGATCAGGGTTTAACAGAAGAGCTTTCTAAGTTTCCAAAAATTGAAGATACAGATCAAGAGATTGAATTTCAATTATTTGTGGAAACATATCAATTAGTGGAACCGTTGATAAAAGAACGAGATGCTATATATGAATCACGCACATATTCTTCGGAATTGTATGTATCCGCAGGATTAATTTGGAAAACTGGCAGGGATATGCAAGAACAAACTATTTTTATTGGAAACATTCCTCTAATGAATTCCCTGGGAACTTCTATAGTAAATGGAATATACCGAATTGTGATCAATCA